GGCTTAGGGTTTATGGTTTGCGGGGTTAGGGGTTGATCCTCAACCTTAAACCCTAAACCCTAAACCCTATTGGTTCTACAATGTCTTTTTCTCCCGGAGGCCCAGGCCAAAGGAAAACAACACAACAAAACATATCAACCCCCATAAAATTCTTCAAAACACCCTATTTCCCAAACGCCAAACCCCATAAGCCCCAAGCCGTAATCTCTTTGAGCCCTTGCCCCTAGCCGCCAGACCCCAAAAGCGCAAGGACGGCCCGGTCTTGAAGAAGGTCACGCAGTCCTTCACCGTGACGGGCATGGCTGCATAGTAGGGACCCCAACAGGACATAAGCATAGGCAGTTTGCGGGGATATCCCTATTCGATTGGGCTTCATTACAAGCGGGTTGAAATGGGATATCCCACATAGATCCCCCACATCGTTTACAATGTTTTTATAAGGAGCTGAGGAGGTTTGATACGGTTCTGTGGGGTTTCAGGATGCTAAAAGGCTCAGGTGTATACTGCAGGACCTGAGCTTTTAGAATAGTTGTGGGCAGTTCTACAGGGACTATAAGAGAATAACCTTATTGATTATTAGGAGTGGGATATGAGAGGTGTAGGATAGAGACCCTAAGCCCCTGCCTCTAAGCCCTTTATGACATCTGTGACATCAGCACCGTGAAAGACCTTAAGGCCCTTGCTCTAAGCCCCAAAGCCCCTAAACGCTAAAGCCAAAGCCATGCACAACCCGAAACCCTGAAGCCTAAACCCTTCTGACTGTAGCAGGGAGGAAAAGAGCCCACAAAAAAAAAAAAAAACACTGTAAAACCCTAAACTCTAAGCCGAAACCCTGTAAGACCCGAAGCCCTAAAGCCTACACCCTGTAAGACCTACCTGGGCCCCAAATAACCTACCTTTTCAAGGACTCATAGTAAGGAACTCATCTTAAGAAACCCTACAAATGTAGGTTCTTTACGGTCCAGGTAAACCTGAAAGCCTAAACCCTCAACCCTAAACCCTAAACCCTGTAAACCCTAAACCCTCTAAGCCCTAAACCCTACAGTCCAAAGGCCTCCCTGTAAGGCAGCTTTTAAGGATCGCCTTTTAAGGAACCGTATAAGGAAGCTCAAAAAAGGGGCCTCAATATTTACCTCTACTGTTTTCGGGAGGTTCCTTACTGTACTTATAGTATGATGGGTCCCAAAACCCTATTCTAATTACTAAGGCTCCTATAGTCTAGAACCCTATTGCAGATCCCTTTAAAGGAACCCTTAAAGGAACCCTATTCTGATTTTAAAGGCTCCTATATGATACCTAACAATCTCCCAGAGAGAGCCGGGCGTAGGCCGATTCTTCGGCAGAGCCCTCGGCTTCCGCATGCGTCACAAGCATGGTGCGGGCAAAGATGCGAGCTCCTGCTACAGAAAAGGCTTAGGGTTTAGGTTTAGGGTGTTGGGTTAAGGGTTTACGGTTTAGGGTTTTCCGGGGGACCGGCCTAGGCTTCATTGAACTGACTTTTTTCACATGTCGGAGATTTTGGAGTCTCGGGTGTCATAGGTTTAGGTGTTTACATGTTATGATTACTATCTGTGAGGCACTGTTGCAGCAGGAGTGGCAGACGCTTCCGCTTATCAGTTTTCCTAGCCAATCACTCTTCCCAGGCCACGCGAAGAGTGCTGCCGTAGCAGCCGACAGGCGGCCCGACCTCACAAGCGGAAGTTGTCAGAAACTAGGGGCCCTCCACAATGGACTCTAAGTCTCATAGTAGGGTCCTGAACCTAGATGGCACATTACGACCCCCCAAATTCATTATGAATATAAGGCTCAGGGAACTTCACACGTGGTATTTTCTTCAAGTGAGGTTCCCCTACTTACAACCGTACTTGAAGGTGCATGTGACTTAGTTGCGAGGCTTATAAGTAAGGTAGATATATTTATGATCACTTACAGCCCAAATTAAGGTAGTTATAAACTGTATGTATTCAGTCCCATCAACCTCCACTCCACGTACTCATGAAGCACCACCTATATATTGTCAGGTCCCACGCTCACTTCAAGGATCATGGGGTTGTACGGAAAGGCTTTATCTATCTACTCATATCCACCTACAGCCCTACTTGCTGCTACCATTGAACCCTAACGCTTAAAACCTAACCCTACTAAGAGGTTCATGGGACTTAATTAAGGTAGCTACACCTGTATGTACTACTTATAACTGTACTTACTAATTAAGTCCCACGAACCTCCAAGTAGGCCCCGACGCGCCTTCAAAACACTGCAGTGGAAGTAGGGGCGGGAATAGCAGTAGCAGCAGCCGGTCGTGGTACTCGTACTTGGAGGTTCATGGGACTTAGTAAGTACTTTAAAGGGCTCCCTAAAAAGCTCCTTAAAGGGATCTATAGGGCTCCTTAAAGGGATCCATAGGCCTTAGGGTCTCGGGTTCTACTTGGAGGATCATGGGACTTAGTAAGTAAGGTCACAAGTACCTCAATTGGGGTTATACGTAATTATGAGTATGGTTACCGTATTTATAACCCCAATTACTAAGTCCCATGATCCTTTAAGTAGCAGCAGTAGCACCAGAAGGAAGCAGAGAGGTTTGGGTGTCGCTGTTCCTCGGCTGCTATGCGCTGATGTCTCACTCGAGTTTTTCCAGGAAGGTTTGCGAGAGGGGTGGGCCGACTCGCTATGTCCATATGATAGGGGAACCGTCAAACGGGTTTCGGATAACATGATCCCGAATCCTGAACCCGAGACACTAAGATTTGAACCCTAGCGACCCTCCTCCCACACGCTGAGCCCTTAACACAAAACCCTAGATCCCGAACCTGACTGGAGAAGCCTGAAGACTTCCCCGTATGTTTCGTAAGACAACACAATTCCTAACTGCAGTATAATGTGCCCCAACACCCTGGTCTAACTACGGTTGATGATATAAATCCTGCATGACCCATAATACGGAATATGCCACAATTCCCTCAGTTTAGGGTCCTTAAAGTCATGCAGGATTTATATCATCAACCGTATTTCGGCCTTTAAATGCAGCCCGGAGGTCTAAGCAATGGCCACCGGCAGGTTCAGGGTTCCAGGGTTCTCGAGTTCCCGGGGGGCTCCAGGGTTCCAGGCTCTACGCTTAAAGGAGCCCTTAAAGGATCCCCTAAAGATTTCTTAAAGGATCCCTTAAAGGATCCCCTAAAGGATCCCTTAAAGATCTCTTAAAGGATTTCTTAAAGGAACCCCGGCAGTCGAAGAGGACCCTCTCCGATTTTCGCGGCTCCCCCGTACCTGGCGGAAGTGCTTTCTGCCGCGGCTCGAGATGAACACGAGATCTCCTTTGGGGTTTAGGGTCGAATTTTTTTTGGTTCCTATAAAAGGGTTCCCTAGAAAGAGATCCTTAAAGGGTTCCTTACAGGGTTCCTCAAAAAGAGATCCTTAAAGGGTTCCTTAAAGGGTTCCTCAAAAAGAGCATTCCTTAACGGGAGTTTTTAGGGTTGAGGCTTGAGGGGTTTAGGGTTCTGGAATACAGCAGTCGTTGCCTTCCGCATAGTATCAAATAGTCCTTATGTCCTGAACCCCACATCCAAAATTATTTCTGACTACCCATGAGCTCTCAAGTGGGCTGTATTTGGGCTCCGGGCTTCATGCTTTTTCTAGATTTCTCGGCCAGAGTTCTGATCAAGTCTGATGGCTTAGCACCCACCACCAATGCCTAGACCTAAGAGGGTCTGAGGGGCAGAACACCGACAACAGGGCCCATCTTAAGCCATGTCGCGGTCCCTGTGGCTTGATTGGGTTATTCAGAGGGGGCCGAAAGGGGTTTTAGCCTATTGGGGGTTTAGTAGGGATTAGGGTTCCCATAATAGAACTCATATTAAGGAATCCCTACCCCAACAATCTTAAACCCCCCTTTTGGCCTCCCACCAGGTATGTGCTAAGTACTCTTCCACGTAGCTTTGTTGGCTTATGTGCTAAGGGGTCTGAGTGTACACCACTGATATTCCCGCCGCACCTCTTTAAGCGCCTTGATCTTTCTTCCATGTTGAAATCCTCATTGCTGCCGGGGCTTTATGAAGTGGGGGTCTACACTAATGCTGTTGTTATTGTTAGTGTCAAGATGATGGGAAGGTTGGTAATCAACAAATAGACTACTTTTCCTTCTGCCAAAAGCCCCCACATGATGTAGGGTATGTATCAAGTCAACGCCAAAACATTCACACACCATCGTGCCCAAAAAGCCCTATGTACACTCCCCACAACCCCTGATATTGATATGACCCCTACCTCAACTTCACAGAACCCTTGAATTAATCCGCTTATGCAGCCCGTTACCTTACCTTAAAGGAAATCCTAGAACCCCAAACCCGAAAGGAACCCGACTTTTTTGTAGGTTCGCATTATGAACCCTAATATGGAATTTATAGGGACCCTACAAAAAAGTAGGTTTTGGTAGCTTAAGAGTACAAAATATGTCACTCAAACCCTAATCTCATCGAATCCCTGGCCGCGCGCGCAGCTTCAAGGTCTTTTTGCGCACATGGCCGCATGAGCCCGTAAGATCCCAAGCAAACGAGGGGTCGGAAGAATTAGTCACAATATTCCGTTGTAGTCCTCATAACATTTATAATAGTTTATGCCCCAAACACTTTAGTCTGATGGTTTAAGGCTCTCATGATGGTTCAACATCGTCAGGGCTTAGGATGAAGGAGGCTTTCCCGAATATAGAAGTCGGAATAGCCAGTACTACTACTCTTTAGGGCTCCTTTCTATGATTATGCTATGTGGTATACAAACAAAACCCCATCACAATGATTAGAGATTCCGAAGCCCTCAAGCCCAAACAGGGAATCTTGAAACCCAACCTTCAAAGAACTCCATATTGTGGATTGCTTATGATTTGTTTCTATCTTCCCTTGTAAAGGGTGTTGGGCTAAAGAACTCCATATCTAGGATTTCTTATGATTTGCTTCTATCTTGCCTTGAGGGGTTTTGGGCTACGGGGACAGCTTAAGTCTGCTGTCATGCCCTCGTCGCTGCGAGCGATGTGGCGGTTCCTTGCTTTGTTGCTGGCAGCACCACACTTGGAGGCTCATGGGACTTCGTAACTACGGTTATCAGTGAGGTAACTCTACTTATAACTAGTTATCACCCATGTTAAGGTACTTATAACTGTACTTACTAAGTCCCATGAACCTCCAAGCAGGACGGCGGCATGCGAAGTGCTCGGGGTCCGAACCCAATGCCCTTCAGCTTGAGCCGTCCATTCCCCAAACCCCCAGTTTGAAGCGGTGTTCTTTGGTAGCCTAATTACAACACATACAGTACAACATACATCAAAACACTGTTCGAATAATTAAGGCCTTCAATCAGGGAGGGCTTCGGTATAGAGTATTGGTACTTCAAGACCCCTTAGTTGAGGAATAAGCATACCGTAAGTCCTATTGAAGTCCGTTATATCAACCCTCATGAAAGCTTTTAAACGACCTGGATGGAAGGTGTGGGCAGCTGTCAGCAAAGATGCGATTGCCAGCGTGCAGCCGGGTCCTTGCGAATGGTAGGGCCTTAACAAGCTTTAGTCTACAAGGCTACGCCTGCGTTTACTGTTCCGGGGTTTTGGGATTTAGTGGTGTGGGGCATACTGTTAAGGGAGTCGGTTTTTGGTTTAGCAGGTTGGGTGTTCAGGTCATACGTTTGCCAGGTGGGCTATTTCGGATGTTTTTTGTGTTTCGCTAGTGTCTTACTGGCAAATTAGTGTCAGAGGGTTTTAAAGGCTTATCTAGTTTGCGTAACATGTGTATGCATGCATGAGTGCATGCCTGAACGCATGCATGCACAGTCCCCGACCGACCTCAACAGTCAATCTGTGAGGGTAGGTTTGTTGGGGTGACACCAGAAAAATTCACGTTCTCGAAGCCTGTCAATTCAGCAGCATACCTGGGACCCTTAACCTGGACCCGTAGTATTAAGACTTGGAGCTGTTAGCCAGACATTGGGGAAGCAATAGGTACCAAGGCTTGGTATACCATGGCAGTGCGGCGGCCGTATACCTCCCTAAACCCTAAACCCTAAAGTTGTACAGGGACTCGTCGTATTGCTTTGAGGTGTACTCCGACATGAACCCACAACCTCCAATATCCCTGAATTGCGGAATATCCTTTTAACAGAATAGGATCCTACTTAAACATAAACAAATATGCAGATAAACACATATACACAAATACACACATACACCGACACACACATACTTTTAACAGCTACACAGATACACACATACACCATGTACACGTATGCATGATCGCTTCCTCCGATTACCAAACCCTCCCCTGATACAACGACCTAATTCCGAATTCCGGTACGGGTTTTGGGAGGGAATGCGCCAGAAGAGGAATTTCCCAGAGACTCCGATATCCCTTTATTGAGGAATATGCCCTGAATGATACTAGGATCCATAATGTGATTTAAGGATTATTCCTTGATTAAGGGATAATGGAGCCTCTCGGAAGAATGAAGGGCGCTTTGGAGTCCCTGGGTCAAAACCGCAACCAGTACGGTACAATAGAATGGGCTTAGGGTTTAGGATATGGTGTCGTTTAGTGTTTAGGTTTTAGGCTTTGGGGTTTACTGTAGTGCAGTATAATCACCGCACATAATGTAGCTGCAGCGATTCTTGTTGTTTTTGAGGGTTTAAACCGCGAAACATGAGCCCTGAAACCCTGAGCCCCGAAACCCGTAAATCCTAAACCTGTGAGCGCTTGCAAAACCCCGCAAACCCCGATCGCACCATAAAACCACAAAGCCAGACAAGAATCAAGAAACCCGTCAAGCCGTAGGCCGTAAGCGCAAAAGGCACCGGAAAATGTTGCAAACCCTCTAAAGTCCAATAGCGCCGAGACAAACCTTACAAACCAGCCCGTTAAAAGATCCATGAAGCAAGCATCGAAACACCTAAACTTTGTCATAGTTGGGTAAAATCTTACATTTAATGGGTACTTAAACCCAATATGGAATGAAATTTAAATTTTTAATCCCATCCCAAGCATGAACTAGTAAATCCCAGACCCTGGGCGACCTCAGGTGCCAAGTTTGCGAGATCGCTGTCGAGGAGGTGCCAACCTGGGCCAACGAAGCATGGTTTTGGGGGTTCTTTTTAAAGGTACGGGTTTAGGTTTTAGGGGTTTAGGGCCCAAGTTAAGGGTTAAGGGTGTAGGGTGTACGACTGTGCGACTATTATTGTAGCGTTGGGGGTCACAGGTGTGGCTTTTCGGTTAAGGGCTTTTCGGTTTAGGGTCCGTGCTCCGAGTGACTCAGAACCTTCAATTGAGGGACGATACCTTGAAACATATTCGGGATCCCTCTTTAAATGACGGTATTAGTTTTAATGGAGGGGTTTTGGAGGAAATCTTTGACTGAGGAATGCAAGGGTTTTGTGTTTCGGAGGGGTTTGGAGGGTCTCCAGCGGCTGTTAGGGGGTCGGGTTCAAGAAAGTGTTCGTAGGGTTTGTAGGGTACTTATTTAAGAAATCCTCCGTAGTTCTGTATAAAGCTTCTCTTGTTGTTTGTGGCTACAGGAAGGTTCCTTCCGTTAAGCGTCCGTTCTGCGAGAGGCTCTTGCCAAAGAGTGTTTGGCGTGACGGATTTTCTAGGTGTTGGGGTTCTACAGTTCGACGATGCAGGAACCCTAAACCCTAGGAGCCTGAACCTGGTTACACGTTTCAGTGCACGGGTTTTGGGGTTTCGGAGTTTTTGGGGCAAGAGCTCTTTGTAGGAACCCTCAACACCGAAACAGACCCATAACATGGTAGATGATAGTGCCTCGATGAGGCGGTTATCTTCTCGAAGGAGTCCAAGATCACCGGCGAGGTCAGTGCACCCGGGTTGAGGAATTTCCAGAGTGCTCCCAACGCCCTACTTGGAGGGTCGGGGGACTTTAGTAAGTAGGTAGTAAGTAGACTTATAAGTACCCTAACAGGGACCCTAATTGGGGTTATGGTACTTATAAGTCCCCAAAATAACCGGTTACTAAGTCCCCCGACCCTCCAAGTAGCGCTGTGGCGGTTGAGGGTTCGGGGTTTGTATTCTTCTAGGCTGAAAAGAAACCCTAAACCCCTAAACCTCTAAATACCTAAACCCCTAAACACCCTAAGTCCTAAATACCCTAAGTCCTAAATACCCTAAATACCCTAAGTCCTAAATACCCCTAAACCTTGGACCCTAAACCATAAACCCTGAAGCTTTTTGCTTACGCGCTGGGGGCTTTCGCAGTCTCTGGGTTCGCACTTCGAGTGGCGAGCCCCGTGCCCTGCAACTCCCAGCGCTCCCGGTAGCCCTGAAGCATCAAATATCGGGGCCAAAATAATTACCAATGCTAGCTTGGGGGTTCCTTATTTTAATTATAGCATAACGGGCCCAAAACCCTATTCTGATTATTAAGGCCCCTACATCAGCCGGGGGGTTTAGGGTTTGGAGGTGAGTAGCATGGTAAATTTGTTGGGATGCCTGACCCGAACTGAAAGTCTGATGTTCTGTCATAGCCCAGTTGCTGAGTGGATCCACTTTAAACCTATTCGGTGATATATTACCCAACCCTAAACCCTAAACCCTAAACCCCAAACCCTAAACCTTTAGGGGCCTATGAACTCGGCAACTAAGATAGTGATCATGGCCCCGTTAACCCTAAACATGGTCTGGGTCTGGGACCTGAGCTGTTCAGAAAACCCTAAAATCTGAAGCCCTAAACCCCAAACCTTAGGGGTACTTAGAAGTCCTTTCTAATTTTTTGGTTATTATAATCCCTAAGAAACAGCTAAAATCATAATTTTCCCAGGGTTCTAAGTTCAGTATAGGAACCTGAAACCCTAAACCTGGAACCCTAAACCCCATACCCTAAACCCTAAATCCTCGTTGAAACCGTAGACCCTTAACCCCAAACCCTAAACCGTAGACACTTAGCCCCAAAGCCTAAACCAAAATTCCTCTTCGAAACCTTAGCCTTCCGAACCCCTACTCCTGGTTCTCTTAAAAGGGACCTTATTGAGAGGGTCTATATCACCGAAAGTCCCCCTAATCCTAAGTCCCACCCCTGACGAGGATGAGCTTGCAGACATGGTGGACGGCTTATGTTCCGTCAAGAAGAAAGAGGGGCCGGGGGCTTAGGGTTTTGGGACCTTAGTAATTAGAATAGGGTTTCGGGGCCCATTATACTACAGTTGTAATGAGGAATCCCCAGAATTTTTGCGGTTTATGTTCCGTCAAGAAGAAAGAGGGGCCGGGGGCTTGGGGTTTAGGGGCCTTAGTAATTAGAGTAGGGTTTCGGGGCCCATTATACTACAGTATTAAGGAATCCCATAATGGAGTTTAGGGTTCAGGCTTTAGGGGTTCAGTATCAATATAATGAGGAACCCCCAAAATAGTGTAAGTAGTTATTTAGGCCCCTGGGGTTTACGGTTCAGGGTTTAGGGTTTAGGACTTTCGGGTTCAGGGTTTAGGTTGAATAGAACATGGGGGATCAGTATGTTTTCTTTTCTGTTATGGTATAAAACCAAGTAGTTGGGTAGGTAACCTTTAACCTTTTTGGGGTAGTATAACCCCTCTATAATCAAAAAGGTTAACCTTTCGTTCCCCACGATACCCGACAAGTAGGAAAAGCTCACGAAACCATAGTCTGAACGTTCAGTCTTCTACAACGTTCGGGTCTAGGGTTTAGGGTTTAGGGTTTAGGGAAGCTTACCCTGAGGATAGTTCGGCCCCCTATGATCCCGGCTTCCGATCGGTGCGATTCAGCGTTTTTTGGCTTATATCTCCTGGCTCAGATGCCACAGGGGTCGGATAAATTCGTGATGCTATTCCCCAGAGGACATTGTATACGCCGGACTCTGTTCCAATTATCAAGCCCTCTATACTAAGCCGTTACCGTAACCCGTATATTTCATGATGAGTCTTGTAGGAACCCTTATAGAACCCTTCAAAGGAGTCCGTAGAGGAATCCTAGTCTAACTGTCAAGGCAGCTGTGCTAGGCTTCAGGGTTCAAAGGCCCTCAACCGAAGGGCCCATGATTGAGAATCACCCCTTTCCGCTTAGAGGACATGAGACTTGGCAACTAGGGTAACAAACAAGGTTACTATACCTACCAAAAAGGCATAACTCCAGTTAAGGGACTTACAACCTTACTTGCCAAGTCCCATGATCCTCCGAGTACATCATATTATAACCAAAGGCCCTGAACCCTCAAGCTTTGAACCGTATACTAGGATGCCCAGTGCTACCCTCATTTCCTTTTTGTAGTCCTGGGTTCCTTATAAAGTTACCCAAATTTCAAAAAGGCAGCCCTTTTTATTCCTAGGTTACTGGGCATCCTAGTATATGATACTCCAAGGATGATGGGGCTTAGTGACTGACAGGGTTCTTGAGGTTCCTTAAAGAGTTCCTGCAAGGGCTCCCTGGGGTTATAAGTAAGGTATGCAGAGAATAGCTTATAGCACCAGTTGCGGTCCTTATAGCCTTACATACCAAGCACCATGGCCCTCGAAGTATAAAGTCGTTGTGAACCCCGCCAACAACCTCCATACAGCCCTCATACAACCCTCATAAAACGTACACAAACCCGCATCACACCCAGATGCTTGTAACACCGCCCTAAGCCCTAAACTCATAGGGACCCCCTAAGGGTCCTTGTCAACATAAACTCCTAAACCCTTAAGCCCCCCGCCGAGGCGATGGGTGGCTAGGTTGGACCTCATCCAAGAGGCTCACTTCCTGCGTCGCACCTTCAAGTAGAGGCTTGAATACCCAGATCCTTAAAGGCCCCTACCCAGAGACTCCAATACCCCTTAATTAAGGAATATACCTTAAATCATATTAGGGATCCTAATACAATTTAGGGTATATTCCTGAATCAAGGGATATTGGAGTCTCTGGGTACTTGGAGGACCGTGGGACGCAGTAAGTACAATTATACAATATTATAAGTACCTTAACTGGGTAATAGTTATTTAGAAGTATAGTTACCTTAATTACAACTCTGGTTACTAAGTCCCATGAACCTTTGAGCATTAGCGAACCCGAAAGTATCTGTTAAGGGGGACCCTCTTCTAAAACTCTCTAGTACCCAGAGACTCCAATATCCATCAAGTACGGAATATTCCTTGTATGATATTAGGTATGATTTAAGGTATATTCCTCAATTAAGGGATATTGGAGTCTCTGAATCCCCAGACCCCCTTCAAGGTCCCCATTATAGAACCCGAAAGTATCCTTTAAAGGGCACCCTATTGTAGAGCTCGATAGTATCCTTTAAGGGGGACCCCGTTCTAGATCCCTATAGTACCTTCTAAAGGTATGCAGGTGGGTTTGAACGAAGAGGATTCCGACTTGCTTGCCCGAAGGGTCCATGTACCTACTTGGAGGATCATGAGACTTAATAAGTAAGGTTATAAGTACCTTAATTGGGGTTATAAGTAATTATAAGTATGCTTACCTTATTTATAACCCCAGTTACTAAGTCCCATGATCCTTTAAGTATGCAGGATAGTCATTTGGTACCCAGATCCCACTATAGTGAACCCCAGAAAGTTGGAACATGGATCTAGGAGGAATAGTGCTAGGATTCCCTATACATTGCTTTAAGGGCATGAGACTAATGATGTTCCAACTTTCTGGCTTCCGCTATAAGCATCTGATCCACAAAGGGGTTTCTTGCCGGTAGATGGGTTAGGAGGGGCCTTCTCCTTCGTGGATCCTAATGGGGGTCTGCGTGCCTAGTACCACTATCCCCGTAGAGCCCCTCTCTAGTTCTACTTTAACATGCCCGCAGGACGTCTGTTCTAAGTATTGCGGCCGCTCTGTTACGGCCAGGAGCCGAAACCGTTTCGGGTTGGGGGCTTCCAAAATACCTCAAGATAGGGTTTAGGGTTTAGGGTTGAAGACCCGACATACTTGTAACTGTACCTACTCTTATGGAACCTTGCAAAAGGGACGGTGGAACACAGTCTGGGGTTTGGGGTTTAGGGTTTAGCTTAATAGGAGCTGCAAGCCCATTGAAACTCCAGATTGGGGGGTGGCGGGATGCCGCTGCTCTCATCAGTATAACAGGAGTCTTTGCCCATGCCCTATGCCTTCAAAGGGGGAGCCATCGTTTTTCAGAAAGTCCCAGCAGGACATTCTGAAACCCCCCTCCAAAACTGCGAACCGCCAACCCTCCCTCGACCCTCGAACCCTACTTGCAGGTTCATGGGACTTTTAACTAGGGTTATAATTAAGGTAACTACACTTATTATTTATATGCACTTATAATCGCAATTAGGGTACATATATCTGTACTTAGTAAGTCCCTTGAGCCTCCAAGTAAAGTCTCACACGGTAAAACACATCGTATAGCCTCCACGCAGCCCTTCTGCATACAACCCTGCTAGCCCTTCTACACCCTCGCAAGAATCCAATGGAAGAATCTTAACCCCGCCATAAAACCTTTGCTAAAGCCTGTCTAAACCTCTCCAAATCGAACCCCAAGCCCTAACCACGCGCAGGAGCCCGTTGTCCTCAATCCACCCACCCCTATGTAAGGCCCTGATAAAGCATATAAGCAGAAATTAGGATAGGAATATCCCGTATAAACACCCTTATGATGAAGCCCAATAAGGTAGGGATATCCCTATACAATGCTTATGCTTGTGTCCTGTTCGGGTCCCCTACCTACAAACGCCTTATCCAGCTTCCCCTAAACCCTATACCCCACATTCAATCCGTTTCGAAGGACCCAGGCGGCCCGCTGTCCGTGGAGAAGCAGGCAGGTTCAGTGGCCCACAGCCTAAACGGCTTAGGGTTTGGGGTTTAGGTAAACACCCTAAACCCCTAAAGCACCCAAAACCACTAAACGTGGAAACCCTGAACCTCTGAACCCTCAGCCTCCAAACCCCTAAACCTCAAGCCATACACGATCTTTGCTTCCCAAAGCTTTCTAGGTACAGCCTACAGTAGAAGCCCAAAAGTTGGAACCCCAGAGCCTCCATCCCTAAGAGTAATGTATAGGGAATCCCAGCACTATTTGGCCTTTCTCCAGTTTCCAACTTTATGGGGTTTACTGTAGATGAGCCCAAGCCCAAGCCCTGAAGCCCAAACCCTAAACCCTCGACCATTTCTTTCAAACACTTTCATGATACGGTTGATGATATAAATCCTGCATTACCTTCAGGACCCGAAACTATGGGAATTATGGTATATTCCTTCTTATGGGTAATGCAGGATTTCTATCATCAGCGTAGTTTGCTGATGGGCCTTGTTGGGTTTCGGCATTTTGGGGCCGCTTCTTCAAGGATATGTCAGTGTTCTCATTAGGGTTTCTTCTTGCGGTTCAGGGCTTCGTGGTATAAACTTTACATAAACGTTTGAACTCGGGGTGATGGTATAATAGGCCTGCACTACCTTAAGGACCCTAGACTATTGGAATTGTGATATATTCCTTATTATGGTTGATGCAGTATTTATGTAATCAGCCGTAGAAATCTCAAAGCTTTGAAGACCTTACGCCGATGCCGCCAAAGATTTTTTGACTTGCTAAGCTCCTCAAACAAGGGCCTAATATAGCGGCTTAAATAATCACCCATACGATTTTGGGGGCTCCTCATTGTAATTATGTTAAAGTATACCCCAAGAATCTATTCTAATTATTTATACGGTTTGGAAGCTGTGGCTCAGTAAAAGAAAGGGCTGAAAAGCTGAAAAAATGTCCATCATAGTCCCTACGGTCTAAATTATCTGTACCTACAAAGCCATATTCTAATTCTTCAGGGCACTATAAAAGCAAAGCTCCTGTGAAGGCCGATTTTAGTACACCCCTATAGAAGAAGCCAGAAAGTTGGAACATTTGACTCCTCATGCCCTTAGGGTAAAGTATAAGGGATCCTAGCACAAATCCTCGTAAAGCCATGTTCCAACTTTCTTTCTTCTACTGTAAATCTTGGACCATGAGCCAGGACCTCATCGGCCAGTGTCGAAGCGAGTGCACCATCGTCCAGAGGCGCCGCACTGGAGGGGTTGATATAGGGGCCTGAATAATTACCAATACTCTTTTGGGGGTTCCTTATTCTAGTTATAGTAAACTGGGCCCCAAAACCCTATTCTGATTATTAAGGCCTCTATATTAGGGTCTAGGGGTTTAGGGTTTAGGGGTGCAGGGGTAGGGTTTAGGTTAAACCGAAGCGGCTTCGTGGGGGTGGGGGGAGAGTGGGGGGGTGGGTAGGGATGGGGGGGGAGGCTTTTGATATTTAGGGGTTTATAGGGCTTGCAGAATTTTAGCAGGTTTTATATATTATGAAGTTTCGTCTTGGAGTGCACCACCGTCTTCACTATATCTATATAATTAGCAAGATCGATGTGGCACAAAGATTGTGCCAGGTGCTTGTTGTAAATACGTGCCTACGCTGCATTCTTAGTTAAACCCTAACCCCTAAACACCAAAACCCCAAAGCCTAAACCCTGAACCCTAATCCCAAAAACCTAAAGCCTAAACCCTTCTGTTTGACTTCAAAGCTAAAGAGCATGCTGAATTGTGAGAGTTTCGCCCGGAAGGATCCAAGAAATGTCTATAAGGGGTTCTATGAAGGGTTCTACAAGGGGTCCGATAAGGTCCGATAAGGGTTCCAAAAAGTAGATCCCTTGAGGGGGCTCCTGTAAAGTATCCTTGAGTACTATAATGTAGGGACTGATTAAGAAACCTTGGCCCTTTATCCTCCTATTTTGGGGTCATAGGCCCAGGGTTTCTTAATCAGGTTCCTACATTAGGGTCCCAAACTTAAAGGGTCTACTTTTGAGCTCATCTCTGGGGTCTGGGGTAGTTGAATGAAACTCCGTCAAGCTTTTCCGAAATGTAGAGGGGAAACGGAGTCCTTAAGAAGTGCAGCAGGGTTTCGGAAGGGAATACTGCCGAAAGTTGTTTAAGCCTTTCTTTCCAAAGCATAAAAGCCAGCCGAAGTAAAAACCTTAAGCGCAACCTGTCGGGACTGCGGGTGAAGCCGCATCAAACCAAGTAGCGCCGAAACTCCAGTAGGCCGCAACACCCTAAACCCTAAACCTAAGTTCCCACAACATAAACCCTACCCCCCCTTAAGGAAGCTTGTAAGGATACCTTTCAAGGAACCATTTAAAGGAGCCTTTGAGGGAACCTTTTTGAGGAACCCTTAAGAGGGACTTACGGATCCCTTTCAAGGAACCCTTTAAAGGAACTCTTTAAAGGAAGACTTCAAAGGAAGCCTTTCAAGTGCCTTTTTAAGGAAGCCTTTAAAGGAACCTTCTTAAGGAAGCCTTAAAGGAACCCTTTTAAGGAACCCTTAAAGGAAGCCTTTAAAGGAACCTTCTTAAGGAAGGCTTAAAGGAACCCTTTCAAGGAACCCTTAAAGGGAGTCTGTAAAGGAACCCAAGCCCCACTTGGAGGGTCGGGGGACTTAGTAAGTAGGTAGTAAGTAGACTTATAAGTACCCTAACAGGGACCCTAATTGGGTTTATGGTACTTACAAGTCCCCGAAATAACCAATTACCAAGTCCCCCTAAACCCTAAACCCTAAACCCTTATAGAATCCCTATAGATCCCTTTAAAATCCCTATAGATCCCTTTAAAGGAGCCCTTTCAAGGAACCCCTTATAGTTACTAAGTCCCCCGACCCTCCAAGCAAGTCGTCACTGCCAGCTTCCCAGGGCCTGCCAGGCTTCCTTGCGAGGCGCCTCCGGGTTTGGGGGAGACCAGAGTCGTGGTGCCCCCTAATGTTCGGAAACTCCCATCTAGGCCCTATATAGGGTATATAGTAGGTATTTGGGTTTGGGGGAGGCGAGGGTCGAAGTCTTTGGGTTTAGGGCCTTTGAAAAGATTCCTTTATTGGGTTTAGGGTTTGGGTTGTATAGTTTAGGGTTTAGGGTTTAGAGGTTGTTGTTTTTTTGACGTTTAGGGTCTTCAAAAGGGTTCCTTAAAGGGCTTCCTTAGGGGATTTAGGGTTTCGGGGAGATGAGAGTCGAAGTCTTTAGGGCTTCCTTTTGGGGTTCGGCGATTAAGGTTCCTGAAGGGGTTCCTGAAAGGGTTTCTGAAAAGGGATCCTGAGAGGGTTCCTCAAAGGGAGGGTTTAGGGCTTAGGGCTTTTGACTTAGGGCGGGTTGAGGTGGGGTTTAAGGGCTCCAGGTTTGGTGTTCCTTCCTGCACCTAGGGTTCCTTTAAAGGGATCCTTAGGGGTTCCTTTAAGGGGTCTATAGGGTTTAGGGTTTAGGGGACCCTAATATCCCTTAATTAAGGAACATTCCTTAAATCATATTAGGGATCCTACGATAATTTAGGGTATATTCCTTCACCAAGGGATATTGGAGTCTTTTAGTCCTTTGTTTTCAGCCTTCCTGTCAGCTTCAACCAGGGAAGTGGTGTTTTTTTTTTTGCTGTGGCCCCGCCGGGTCTTTTTAGACCCGATGTAGTACACCAGACATTTTTTGTTATTGGCTCGCCGAGTTCGGCGGGGGCCGCAGCAAAAAAAGAAACACCACTCCGGCAGAGGAGAAAGCATCGCTGCCTAGGCCCGCGCCCCGAAAAGGTCGCCCCGGCCCACAGTGAGTGAGTGAGCGTCCGGGCGGGGCCGCAGCAAAAAAAAAAAACACCACCCAGACCCTGCCCCGGAAGGGTCGCCCCGGCCCACAGTGAGTGAGTGAGCTTCCGGGCGGGGCCGCAGCAAAAAAAAACACCCCGACGGCGCGCGGGGCCGCAGCAAAAAAAAAAACACCACTCCGGCGGAGGAGAAAGCATCGCTGCCCAGGCCCGCGCCCCGAAAGGTCGCCCCGGGCCACAGTGAGTGAGTGAGCGTCCGGGCGGGGGCCGCAGCAAAAAAAAAAACACCACCCAGACCCTGTCCCGGAAGGGTCGCCCCGGCCCACAGTGAGGGGCAGGGTCTGGGTGGTGTTTCTTTTTTTGCTGCGGCCGCCCGGACGCTCACTCACTCACTGTGGCCCGGGGCGACCTTTCGGGGCGCGGGCCTGGGCAGCGATGCTTTCTCCTCCGCCGGAGTGGTGTTTTTTTTTTTTGCTGCGGCCCCGCTCGCCGTCGGGGTGTTTTTTTTTTTGCTGCGGCCCCGCCCGGAAGCTCACTCACTCACTGTGGGCCGGGGCGACCCTTCCGGGGCAGGGTCTGGGTGGTGTTTTTTTTTTTGCTCTGGCCCCGCTCTTTCCCCTGCCTTTCGGCGGGGCCGGAGCAAAAAAAAAAACACCTTGCACGCCCTGGGACCGCAACAAAAAAATTCTAGAAACCATTGACACGGGGCCCGAGCAAAAAGGGGCCACAACAAAAAAAAAACACCCTGACCTTCAACCAGAGCCAGATTAAGTTTGACCGTTTCTGTTAATAATGCCTTGAACCCAGCCCCCTCTACCCTATACCCGAAACCCTAAAGCAACCAAGAACTGCAACTTGAAGCATAGAGGGATCCGAGAGATGGTCTAAGGTGTACCTAGAGCAACCAATGTACTTATACCTTATAAACGGATGGCCCAAAACATAAGGTCCATTTCCTTTTTCAAAAGTTTATCTTGGCTCCCTAAACCTGTCACCCTACATTGGATTGTCTGAGAGCTTCCTTTGCAGTGGTTCAGGTGTCGATCCAAGGGTATTTCGGTGGGCTTTAGGGTTTCGGTTTCGGGCTTTTTTTGGCTGAGAGTTTTCAGATTTGTCTTAGTGGAATTTGGGAGATTCGCTGTTTGAGACCCTAAACCCTAAACCCTAAACCCTGAACCCTAAACCCTAAACCGAGCCGATTATTGAGGTCCCCTCTTGTAAATTCGCAGCGTGCAGGCAAGGAGGACTCCCTGGCTTCGATGCTGCAGCTGCTGGGGCGCATTTCAGGGTTCCGGGTTCAGGGATTAGGGTTCAGGGTTTAGGGTTCAGGGTTTAGGGCTCAGGGTTTAGGGTTCAGGGTTTAGGGCTCAGGGTTTAGGGTGCACTTCAGGGTCGAGCTCAAAGTTAAGCTTCTTCTTTTTTTGTTATCAGGTCCTTTGGGGTGGTTGAGGCTTCTTCAAAAACATTTACACAGGGCTTCTGTGTTTGTTGCATGACTCCGCAGTTTGTTTTGACAGCTGCTTTCATAGGTTTTACCTCCTGGTTTCTCCGGGGTTTCTACGGGACCATGGGTGTTTCTCGGGTGTTGTTTATTTCAACAAGGATCGTGTGACCTGTTCAGAGGCACATGGATGCTGAAATAAAGGCTAGTCGGATGCCCTTATAGCCCCTATATAGTTGTTATTAGAATAGTTTACCTTAAGCTCGCCAGAATGGCAGTAGTCAGTTTTTCATTTTCATGGTCGCCCTTATCACGGAAGCAGGTTTGTTGCTCAGAGGTCCTGCATAAGAAAAGGAGGCACCGCAATGCAGAGCCCAAGATAGGAGGATGCTCATGACACGGCCCCTTTCTAAGAAGGAGCATTTCATTTTAAGACTTCCTCCCTTTTGAGCTGTTTCCACACCTGAACAACTTTTACAAAGCTTCATAAGCCCACCTTCTGAAACCCTTAAAAGCTTTGACGACTACTGAAAGCACCTTACGCTTAGCGGTGGCACCATGTCGATTACAGTGGAAGTCGCACTATTAAGTGGCAAGGCAGCTACCGTGAACGTTGGCTTGGAGGAAGAGGTGGGAGCACTGAAACATCGGGCGCAGACCGCACTTGGAGTCAGACAGGGTAGACTCCTGGACTCTTCTGGAGGTGTTCTGGATCTAAGTGCTCCGATCAAGCGTGCCAGGTTGCAGAATCGTGACTCGCTGACCCTGCACATTGGGAGAGTAGAAGTTCAAGCCACTCGCAGGGCTTTTGCTGCCATACTTGGCGATGGCTCTGTCGTGACCTGGGGCGATCCCAACAATGGTGCTGACAGTAGTGCTGTGCAGGATCAGCTGAAGAACGTGCAGCAGATCCAAGCCTCCTACGGCGCTTTCGCCGCAATTCTTAGCGATGGATCCATCGTGACGTGGGGTGATCCTAGCCGTGGCGGTGACAGCAGTGCTGTGCAAGATCAACTGACGAATGTGCAGCAGGTCCAAGCCGCTTGCAACGCATTTGCTGCCATTCTGGGCGATAGCTCCGTCGTCAGCTGGGGTGATGCTTTCTGTGGCGGCGACGCTGATCGGGTGCAGGATGAGTTAAGTAAGGTGCAGCAAGTCCAAGCAGCTCATCTCGCTTTCGCAGCCGCTCTTGATGGATCTGTCGTGACCTGGGGTGCTGCTGGCTTTGGTGGTGACTGTAGTGAGGTGGGCAGTTGGGCCCCTCTTAGGGTACCCTAAATGTTAGGTGCCGTATTATAATAAGACCCCAAAAGGGACCACAATTTTGACAACCACCCAGGTGCATGATCAGCTGAATCATGTGCCGCAAGTCCAAGCGAATTCCTCCGCTTTCGCTGCCATTCTTGGCGATGGATCCGTCGCGACCCGGGGCCGGGCTCGAGAAGGTGGTGACAGCAGTGAAGTACGGGATCAGCTCAAGAACGTGCAGCAGATTTCAGCTTCTTACTATGCTTTTGCTGCCGTTCTTGGTGATGGATCTATTGTCACCTGGGGTGATGATGACTGTGGTGACAACAGTAGTGCTGTGCAGGACCAGCTGCAAAATGTGCAGCAGATTCAAGCCAGCAAGCACGCGTTTGCTGCAATTCTTGGCAACGGCTCTGTCGTGACCTGGGGCGATGCTGGCCACGGCGGTGACAGCAGCGCGGTGCAGGATCAATTGAAGAATGTGCAGCAGATCCAAGCCAATCTCGCCGCTTTTGCGGCTATTCTTGGTGATGGCTCTGTCGTGACCTGGGGCTGTGCTCGCTATGGTGGTGACAGCAGTGCAGCGCAGGATCAGCTGAAGAATGTGCGGAAAATCCAAGCCACAGAACGCGCTTTCGCTGCCATTCTTGGTAATGGATGCGTCGTGACCTGGGGTAACGCAAACTTTGGTGGTGACAGTAGTGCGGGGCAGCACCAGCTGCAAAATGTGCAGCAAATCCAAGCCACTGGCGGCGCTTTTGCTGCTATTCTTGACGACGGATCTGTCGTGACCTGGGGTGATGCTGACGGTGGTGGTGACAGTGGCGCTGTGCAGAATCAGCTGAGGAACGTTCTTGGGGATTGAGCCGTCGAGGTGGTCCTTGTCGTGACAGTCACAGTGGTGCCTTGCAAGATGGTCTTACTTCAGGGATCATGGGACTTAGTAACTACGGTCATAAATAGAGTAACCATACTTATAATTACTTATAATTTCTTATAAACCCTACTTGTAACCTTACGTACAAAGTCCCATGAACCTCCAAGTACGCCTGTGTAGCGGCTGGCATCCAGGTATCGGCAGAGTCAAGACCAGATCCGCACAAGCAGCTGATTACTATATAGGAGTTGCCTTATATTGTGCTCCAATATAAGGGCCCCAAAATAAGGTACCCCTACTTTTGGGAGACTCCCATATATCGGTATACAATAGTATTTCTATTTTACTATAATGCAATACTACCATATTACTACATGTCTGCACAACTCTTACTTCGTGTATATGTGGCATGCAAGTGCTGACGGCGCTCGTACAAAAGCCAACCCAGACACTCCAAACCCCTCAATCACGGAATAGACCTTAAGGCCAAAGACCATACTAGGGTTCCCGCTATAATTTCAGGTATAATTCCCTTTTAGAACCCTTATAGATCCCTTTGACCCTCAGGGGTATATTCCTTAATTAAGAGGGTTTTGGAGTTTCTGGGTACCCGAACCCCCCTATATAACCCCCATAGATCCCTTATGGATCCCTTAGAGGAACCCTTTAAGGAAACTTTCAAGGAATGCTTAAGGGATCTTTAGGGCTTCCTAAAGCGGGTTTTGGGGTTTCCCGGAGTCCCTACCCGGCTCTCGGGATCCCAGGAGGGCGTGAGTCGCTCAAAAGAAGGGCCCAACTAAGTAGTATACGGGTTTAGGGTTTAGGGTTCGTGGGACTTAGTAACGAGGGTTATAAACAAGGTAACTATACTTATAATTAGTTGTAACCCCAGCTGAGGTACTTATAACTGTACTTACTAAGTCCCATGAACCTTCAAGTAGAGGCCTTAGTAAATACGATAGGGGCCCAAATAGGGGTTCACTCAAAGGGTTCCTTAAAAGGGTTACTATAAGGATTACTATAAGGGGTATTATGGTTTTTTTTAGTATAGAGGCCTTAAATTATTACCTATACTATTTTGGGGGTTCCTTGTTAGAACCATCCAAAACCCTATTCTAATTGTTAAGGCCCTTACCGTAGGACAAGTAGAAGAGGGTTCCTTTCAAGGTTTCTGTAGAAGGGGTGCTTTAAGGCATGCTCTAGGCATAGGGTTTTTCAAAATTTAGGATAGGGTTTTTTAATATTTAGGATAGGGTTTTTTAATATTTAGGATAGGGTTTTTTAATATTTAGGATAGGGTTTTTTGAAACCCTTTGGAACAGCATGGGTCTTAACTTAGCTCCTACATTAGCAGTCTCACGCGCACTACGTTTGATCTGCGAAGAGATTCTGGTTTCTCGACCCAAGACGCCAAGCTGCGACATTTTTAGCAGCGGCCTCCCTTGAAATACACGTACAGCTCTGCAACCTCTTGGAAGTTTTTTTGAAATCCCAAGACCCTGAAAACGAACCCGCTAAAACTCCTGACCTTAGCCCCATCCACCCCTAGAGCCCTAAGCCTATACCAACCCTAAACCCTAAACCATCCCAAAGCGTCAACCCTAAACCCTGACACCCTAAACCCTACACAAGACCCCTAAACTTTCAACCGGAGGCATGAACCCCAAGCCCGGATCATCCGGAAGACACAGACTTAGTAGCTGAACAGGTAAGCTTTGACTTTTTCAGGGTTTAGGGCACTACAAGGGGATCCTTTAAGGGATCCATAGGGGTTCTTGAAGGGGCTCGTAGTAGTAGAGTAGGTAACCTTGAACCTTTTGGGGTTTAGGGTTCAGGGTTTACATAATCCTACCATGGTTGAAAAGGTTAACCTTTGTTGGGCCAGGATACCCGGCCTCTAAGCAGCAAGCGGCAAAACCAAAATCAGAACGGCAAGAGGATGGTTCTTCAATACGAACCTTAATCTTCAATACCAATCCTCAATGCCAGCCCTAAAGCCTGTGCCATAAACCCTGAACTGTAAATCCAAAACCCTTACCAGGAACAAAAAAAGATAAGCTACGTCGTCATTGAACCCTGACAGACCCTTTGGGGAACCCTTTAAGGAGCCGTTCTAGTAACCCTTCCAGGAACCCTTTAAAGGAACCCCTTGACCAACTTTCAGAAGGACCCCTTTACCCTTTAAAGGGGCCCAGTAAAGAACACCCTAAACGCTGAGGAGCGGGGCCAGTAGCAAGAAGATCAAGGACAAGGCAATGGGGCCTAGGGTTTAGGTTAGAAGCTACCTTCACCCTGTAATAGTGATATAATAGGAGTATAATAGGGCCCTAATATAATCTATATACTCCTTATAGTCACTATTACAGGGTGGGGGCCCCTTCGAAGGTTTAGGGTTGTTCGGGGATCAAGAGCTGATGTTTTGATTTTTCAAGGGGCCCAGCCTTCAAGAACTGGATGTGTTGACCCTTCGGGGGGCCCAGCCTTCAAGAGCTAGATGTGCTAATCTCTCAAGGGGCCCAGCCTTCGAGAGCTGGATGTGTTGACCCTTCAAGGGCCCCAAACTTTAAAAGCTGAATGCTTTAACCCCTCTAGGGGCCCAGCCTTCAAGAACTGGATGTGTTGAGTGTTGACCCCTCAAGGGGTTCAGGCTTCAAGATCTAGATTTGCTGACTTCTTAAGATCAAGAGGCCCAGCCTTGAAGCGCTTCACAGAGTTCAGTTTTCAAGAACTATGACCCTTCAAGGGGCCCGGCCTTCAAGAGCTCCATGTGGGGATTCTTCAAGAGGCACAAGGGGTGCAGCCTTCAAGAGCTAGATGTTTTGACCCTTGAATTGAGATTGGCCCTAAACCCTAAACCCTAAACCCTAAACCCTAAACCGTGGCTAGATCGGTTGACCCCCAGCCTTCAACCACCGAATGTGTTGACCCATCAAGGGGCCCTGGCTCACCGGTGGTGATGGGGAAGCTCAAGTTGAATTTCAGTAAATTTAAATCAATAGCTTAGACGATGAGTTTAAGTAAATTGGATCGCCTTTATCTTAGCCGGACACATGTAGCACATCTGTCAAGTGATTTAAGTGTAGTTGCTTCAATTTGAAAAGAATGTCAAGGAAACCCACGCACGGTGAAATACGCAAGCTCAATTTATGGGGTCTTGAGGGTTTAGGGTGTAGGGTTTCGGGTTTATGGTTTAGGGTTTAGGGTGTAGGTGTAGGGTTTAGGGTTTTTGGGGCCTCGGGTTTTAGGGTTTAGGGTTTCGGGTCTCGGGTTTTGGGGATTAGGGTTTCGGGCCTCGGGTTTTGGGGTTTAGGGTTTGAGGATTGAAGGGGTTCGTCAAAGGGTTGCTTCAAGCGGTCCAAGGGTTTGGCGGAACCATAAACAGTAGCATTTTACTGTCGAAACAGTACTCACAAGGTAGCCGTACATACAGAACGACTTATACACACAATTAGGACAGTTATTGCTAGAAAGGGGAAGCCTAGTATCGAACGATAAAGAGTAGGTTTTGTTTGAGGGCTTAGGTTTGATTCAGATAGTAGGATCGCGGTTTAAAAAGTGCCCCCATCTTACTTTCGGTATACGCCTAAAACCTTACCCCCTCAACCCTTTATCCTCAACCCTCACCAAAACCCACACAAGCGCTAGATTTTTGCGTTTTGGAATGTCTGAGAGGTCTGCAAGAAGACCTGTGGGAAGAAGCGGCCGAAGCTGCCGGAGTGGCGCCTCGGCTCCTCTTTCTTTGAAAAGTTTGAGGTTTTTAGGGGTCCCTTTAAGGGATCTGTAGGGTTCCTCTAAAGGGATCTATGAGGGATCTTTAGGGGCTTAGGGTTTGGGGTTTGTGTATGTTTAAGCCGGTATTTGGGTTCAGAATTTAGGGTTGAGGGGTTTTTACGTGGTTTCTATATGGGTTCTGTAGGGTTTGAGGGGCCTTTAATGGCGGTTTGTAAGGGCTTTTATCTGGGTTTTAGGGTTTCGGGGCTTTGCACCCTTCAGGGCTTCGGGGCTGTACTTGGAGGACCATGGGACTTAGTAACTGGGGTTGTAAAAAAGGCAACCATACTTATAATTACTTGTAACCCCAATTAAGGCACTTATAACCTTACTTACTAGGTCCTATGACCCTCCAAGTAGGGGTTTAGGTTTCTTAGAGTTTCGGGCTTTCGGGCTTCGGGGTTTGAGGTTTCTAGGGCTTGAGCAGTTTGGGCTCTAGGCTTTGAGAGCTCTGCGGTTTCACAAGAAGCCTTAGACCCTAAAATCGAAACCATGAACCCTAAACCCTAAACCTTAAACCCTGTACCCTGAACCCTGAACCATAAAAAAAGACGGGGTTCAGGCTTGGAAGCTTCAGGCGGTGCGACGATGCCCGATTGAGAGATTCAAAGGGCTCCAAGGGTGGGATGAAGGTAGGCGAGGTAATCTCAGAATAGGAGTCCGGTGTCAAGCACAAACCTCCACATCCTGAGTTTACAGCGCATTTCAACTTTCGAGTGTGGAACGGGAGTCGAGAGTTTGAAGAGCAAGTTCGTGCAGGATGCACTCCGAAGCTCGACGGAACCTTTGCTAGTGCCCGTGGAGCAGGAAGAAGCTGTTCAATACGGTTGGTTCTTCCGGGAGGTGGATTTGAACTCGTCTTACGTTGTCCGAGGACTGTCAGGCGAGCTCGCAAAAGAGTTGGTACACCCGCCCAGCTTCTCATCAACTACGACTGCACGCTTGCCAAGCTGGTCGGTGGCTTTCTTTACAGGCTAATGTAGGAACCTGATTAAGAAACCCTGGTCCTATAACCGTCCAAACACTAGGATGACCCTAATAAAGGCCCAAGGTTTCTGAATCAGGTTCCTACATTATCCAGCAATGGGGCGGAGCTCCTGATGGCCTTCGCAGCCCTGGCCGACGCCTGACCGCGTACAACTTCGCTGCCCTGAAGGCAGGAGTCCGGAGATCCCATTTGTACTTTGACAGAAATTTGTGTCAAGAATCCATCAGAGAGGAAAAGCAGGCGGGAAAGAACGCAAGCAACAAGGAATAATCCAAAACCCAAAAGACTTAGCAGGGCAAACCCGAACGACCACGGCAAGCCTTCGGACAACCTAGCCCCGGAGCCTTAGCAATAACAAACCCACCATCGGGACTACATTTCCTGGTCAGGAGATCGTAACTAGTTATGCGGTTTGTATTTTACCTGTTTAGAGTGTACGAGCCCCTCACAAATAGAACTATGAGAACAGTCCAATCCCGACTGCCAGGACCACCCAAAACCCTAAAGAAAAGTACATATGTGCATTAATACATGTAATGTATGTAGCCATGCATACGCATACTGGTCCACTCAAAGGAAATCCTGTAAAACCCGGAAACAAAAGCCTCGAGGAAGGATGAGCCTTTCGAGCCCAGAGATCAGAAGGAGGCCGGGCATGCAGTACACGTTGTGTACGGGTTCCAGGAGCTTGAAAGGGTACTACAGAGTTCTATGATAGGGCCCCTTTGAAGGGTACTATAGGGAGGGTTCTAAAAAGGTACTGTAAAGTAATAAGGCCTGTGAAAGGGTAGCGCAGGGTTCTATAATGGAGCCCCTTTAAAGGGTAGTGTAAGGTTCTATAATAGGGCCCCTTAAATTCAAGGGGTACTATAAGCCTCTAGAATCGGGGCCCCTGTAGAGGATCAGTTTGTTGAAAGTTTTTTGTTTTGCAGGGCGTTATAGATGGGTTCTCACTTTCAAGTATTTATGGGGTTTCGTCGGCCTATCACAGTGAACACCATGGACTTTTTGCTATTGGTTCTCGTGTTGGGTGCAGAGCGAAGTACCGTTCCGGTACGGAATTGGCCTTCGCAAGCAGACGTCCTAAACATAATGAGGTAGTATAGAGGCTTTGATAACAAGAATAGGGTTTCGGTGTACGTTGTACTACGTTTATAGTAAGGAACCCCAAATATTGAACATGGTTGTTTCAGTAAACGGGCCGCTGTTTCAGTGAACTGGAATGCTGTTTCAGTGAACTGAACCGCTGTTTCAGTGAGCTGGTCAGAGGCATAGGGTAGGGTAGGGGAGGCTAGGAGGTTATGGGTGGTGGGATTGGTAGAGAGGGTAGGGCAAGCTAGGATAGGGCTTAGGTAAAACCAAGCCCAAAGCCTCGGGGAAACCCTAAACCCTAAACCGTTAAACCCTAAACCCTAAACCGCAGCATCAAGGTGGAGACGGAGGACATGATCGCGAAGATGAAAGCAGAGACCGGGATGGGCATGAAGATGTACAAGCGGGAGGCCACGTGTAAGGGCCCTTATGTGGGAGTTTCCAAAAAATAGGGGTACCATATTTGGGGGTCCTTATAAAAAGGATCCTACTATTTAGGGCGCTATATTAGGGCCCCCTATCTGCGGAAAGTCACATGTAGGATCGTGAAGTGAATGCATGCATGGGGCAGCTGGGGTGGTCAGGGGTTTGGGTGAGGGATGAGGGCGAGGTTTCAGGCTTCAAAAGTATGGAGGGCTCGTTTTCGTGGAAGATATACCACCGCTGCGAGGAAGAAGACGGGGCTCCGGGCTTCAGATGCTTGCTGCAGCCGATGGCCGATATTTCTTGTTGGAGTTGCTACTGTTGACTGTTGCAGTTTTCTCTTGTTGATGTGCTGCTGCTTCTACTCTTCACGACGCCGGCCACGACGACGACGATGATGCCGAGGACGAGGACGACAATCACGACCACTATCGCAACGACCACAGTGCCATAAAGGCTGTTACTATGATTCTGTCGGTGGCTTTGCTTGTCCTTTTATTTATACTGATTGCGAGGCTGTTTCGGCTTCTGCTACTGATGCTGAAGATACCTGCTTCTGTTCCTCCCATGGTTTTGCTCTTGGTGACCTTGTTTTATGTTGCATATGGCAACGAGGAAGAGCCCGCAGTATCAATCTTGCAAAAAGCCTCTGTCGTTTGTGTGGCAACGGTGGACCACAAGCTGGGAAGAGCCATCAACCCTAGCCGAAGGAAAACTCCCTAGTTAGGGGTCCCTACTGTGGTTTCTTTGTATATTTCCACAAAGTGGTAGGGTTTTTTTGGCCACGTTTAATTGTTGAACCCTTCCCCCGCAGACGCCACAGGACCTCATGGGGATGTCCGAAGGCGACATGGAAACTATGGCAGCGCGAGAGGCAGCTGATAGAGTCCGGTATGGGATGCAAATTTAGGGTTTAGGTTTAGGGTTTAGGGTTTAGGGTTTAGGGTATAACCCCCCCCACACACACACAACCTATAGAACCCTGTATTGAACCACCCTAGATCTATACCCCTATTCCGCTAACCCCTGCTCCTTAGCTCTGAACACCTTGTAAAACCTATAGACCCTTTAACGGAACCCTTAAAGGAACCCTTACCTGAGCCCGTTAAGGAGCCTTCAAGAAACGGGACCCCTGGTACAGAAGGGAGGGGGAACCTGTCATGGAACTCTCGACAGTAGCCTTTAGCGGGGCCCTATTATAGAACCTGTAAAGGAAACCCTAGTATAGAACCCGATAGCACCTCTTAAAGGGGAACCCCTAGAGGAACCCCGGTACAGGGACCCCCCCCTCAAGGGAAGGCCTGAAGGAAGCCTACTTCAAGGATCATGGGACGTAGTAATTGGGGTTATATTTAAGAGAACTACAGTTATAGTTACTGATAACTATAGGGTTTGGGGTTAGGGTTCAGGGTTGATAACCCGCTTAAGGTACTTATAACCTTACTTACTAAGTTTCATAATCCTCCAAGTAAAGTAACCCTGAACCCCAAACCGTCCCTAAGACCCCTGAGAACCCGGACCTTGTAAGCCCCGAGGCGAGCCCCTTTAAAGGGAGCCTCTTCTGGAGACTACTTTGAGGTTCATGGGACTTAGTAACGGGGTTTAGGGTTTAGGGTTTAGGGTTACAGTTTAGGTAACTACACTTATATGTGCTTATAGTCCCAATTAGGATGCTTATAACTGTACTTACTAAGTCCCATGAACCTCCAAGTAGACCCTAAACCCTAAACCCTATAGATCCCTTTAAAGAACCCTAGAACCCTATAGATCCCTTTAAGGAGCCTTTTAAGGAGCTCTTTACTAAGTCCCATGAACCTCCAAGTACAAAACCGCAGGGTCCTCTTATCGGGTACTTTCAAGGGTACTACGGGGGTACTACGGGGTATGTTTATACGGGTACCGTATTTTTTTGTAAATTTTTCTGGTTTTTTTTCTGTCTATTTTTCTGGTTTTCGGTTGAACGCAAACGAAAGAAAGAAGGAGAGAAACGGAAGCCAGAAAGAAAGAAAGGAGCTAAGAAACAAACAAAGAAAGCAAGAAAGGAAGACACCAGGAAGAGGAGAAAGAAAGAAAGGACGAAGGACAGAAAGACAGGAAGGAAGGAAAGAAGGACGACAGAAAGAAAAAATGAACGAAGACGGGAACAAAGGAAGAAGGCAAGAAAGCAACACACCAGAATGGGGAGAAAGAAAGAAAGGAAGGAAGGACAGAAGGACAGACAGAAGCAAGGAAATAAGAACGCAGCAAAGACAGAGAGACAGAACAGAAGAAATGAATATCGAAAGACAGAAAGCCAGCAAGGACGACCAGAAGGAGTGTTAGAAAGAACGGAGCAAAGAAAGAACCCAAGAACGAAAGCAGGATAATTAGACAGCAAGAAGCAAAGACCAGAGACCCCGCTGTTTTGAGCTGTGTGCAAGCTTGCTTGACAGCATAGACGTCGTTCTGAAAACCCACCCTGCATAAAATGTAAGTCTTCTTGAAACAATGCCATTCACCATGCAAAGAGTCTCTTTGCAAATGGAAAGCCTGCCCCGGGCGTGCGAGAGTGCCGAGCTTGCTTGACAGCATATATGCGTTTTGTTGAAAACCCCACCATGCGAGCATCCTCATGAACTGCCCCCCTTAAACCGCCCCGCCGCATAGTTTTTGTTGTAAACCAGACATGCGAGCATCGTGATTGCAAATGGGGGGGGCTGCGCCCCCCCCAACCCCCCCGCTGTGTAAGCCGTGTGCCAGGTTGCATGACAGCATAGGAGTCGTGACAGCACATACGCATGTTTTTACCAACCACGCGAGCATCATCCTTGCAAATCGGGGGGGCTGCGCCCCCCCAACCCCCCCACTGCTTTAAACCATGTGCAAGCTCGCGTGACCGCAGCTTTGCTTGACAGCAGATATTCTTGTTTAAGACCAACCATGCGAGCATCTTGATTGCCGCCCTTAAACCCCCCCAGCCGCATGCGATTTGCGGTAAACCAGCCATACGAGGATCGTGATTGCAACTGGAAGGGGTTGCCCCCCCCCAACCCCCCCGGCTGCTATAAGCCGTGATTGCATGACAGCATAGCAGTCGATGCCTAGGATATCCTAGGATGAATCTTTTACTTAGAAGCAGCACCCTTCACCTTGTGAAAAGTGTGATTGCAATTGGGAAGCATGCGCCGGGCGTGCGAGAGTGGCATGCTTGCTTGACAGCACATACGCGTTTTTTGACCAACCATGCGAGCATCATGCTTGCTAATGGGGGAGGCCGCGAGCCGGAATTCCCCAATAGCTTGACGCAGGAAAACAAGCTCGAACACTGGAATCTCCCAGTAGCTTGACGCACAAGCAAACCCTGAACAAACTACACTCCCGCGACAGCTTGACGCACAAACAAACCCTGAAAACTAGAATCCCCCCAATAGCTTGACGCACAAACGAACCCATATCCCGCCAAACCTTTTAAACATAACCTGGCCGCCAAACCTTAAAGAAAAAGACTCCACCCAGCAGCAACAACAACATGAACACCAAGAGCAGTAGCAACACCAGTAACAAATAACACCAAAAGGCATGCAACCACAACGAGAACAACAGGAAGAACAGCAACAACAACGACACCACCAGCAGCAAAATGCAACAACAGCACCAACACCAGCACCAGCACCAACACCACCACCAACAAGCACAACAACAACAACATCAACAACAACAACAACAACTAACTACTACTACTATACTATTACTATTACTATTACTATTACTATTACTATTACTATTACTATTACTATTACTATTACTATTACTATTACTATTACTATTACTATTACTATTACTATTATTACTATTACTATTACTATACTATTACTATTACTATTACTATTACTATTACTATTACTATTACTATTACTATTACTATTACTATACTACTATACTACTATTACTATACTACTATTACTATTACTATTACTATTACTATTACTATTACTATTACTATTACTATTACTATTACTATTACTATTACTATTACTATTACTATTACTATTACTATTACTATTACTATTATTATTACTATTACTATTACTATTACTATTACTATTACTATTACTATTACTATTACTAGTACTATTACTATTACTATTATTATTACTATTACTATTACTATTACTATTACTATTACTATTACTATTACTATTACTATTACTATTACTACTTACTATTACTATTACTATTAATTATTATTACTATTACTATTACTATACTATACTATTACTATTACTAGATTACTATTACTATTACTACTATTACTATTACTATTACTATTACTATTACTATTACTATTACTATTACTATTACTATTACTATTACTATTACTATTACTATTACTATTACTATTACTATTACTATTATTCCTATTCCTACTATCCTATATTCCTATTCCTATTCCTATTCCTATTCCTATTCCTATTCCTATTCCTATTCCTATTCCTATTCCTATTACTATTACTGCTGCTACTACGACTACTACAACTACTGCAACTACCACTACCACGACTACTACAGCTACAACTACAACGACAACAACATCAACAACATCATCAACACCAGCAGTAACAACAACAACACCACGAAATCCGTACAAAATGCGACAATGCACGGAAAAGCCGATTTTCCCGAGGAACAACCAAGGTAACGTATGTTTTCCTGCTGAAAACCTAAGGAAACGACACGGAAGCCGTAGGAAAACAGTGTTTTCCCTACGAAAAACCAAGCAGGCGTCTCTCCACCCAGACCGCAACCGCAGAGTCTTAGAGTTTCAATCCAGAAGCTTCGCGGATGCTATAAGCGCGCAGGGCAAAAACGAAGTGTGAGAGACACTGCAGCATTGTGGCAGGAGCTTCTGACAGTCCAGCAGCTGCCGCGAGACGAGCGAAGAAGTTTGGGAAGCTTTGAAACCGAAAAATCCACAAAAATCCAGAAAAAATACGCAAGGAAGAATTCCAGTCAGAGGTGGAGAACGGTCACGGCCACCAGGCTAGATTCCGAAAACCAAGGAAAGCATAACTAAAACCAGGAAAATATACAAAAAAAACCAGAAAAATACACAAAAAAGAGCTCCAGTCAGAGGTGGAGAACGGTCACGGCCACCAGGCTAGATTCAGAAAACCAAGGAAAACAGAACTAAAACCAGGAAAATATACAAAAAAAACCAGAAAAATAGACAAAATAAATACTCGCTCCATGTTTATACGGCTCCTTTAAAAGGTACGATAGGGAATTACAAGGTACCTGTAAAGGGCACTCTAGGTTTGAAGGGTCCTTTTGAGGGGTACTACAGGTTACGAAAGGGTACTTTAATAGGACCCCTTGAGACGGTCCTATTGGTTTTAGGGTAACCCTTTAAGGTTTCCTTTAATTTAAGTTTTTGAGGGTTCCTTCTAGGGCAACCCTAAACCCTAAACCCTAACCCCCAGACCCGTAGACCCCTGAACCCTAACCCCTAGACCCGTAGACCCCTAAACCCTAACCCCTAAACCCTAAACCGTGGCTGCCCTGAACCCTAAACCCTAGTCCTCCCTTTAAAGGAAGCTGAAGCCCAAAACCCTGGTCCTCCCTTTAAAGGAAGCCCAAAACAGGCCCCGAAGAGCCAGGCCTTTGCTTCGGAGCGCCAGGCTGCGCGGATGGCCGAGATGGATCTCTAGGAGGTGCTTACAGGGTTTAGGGGTTTAGGGGTTTAGGGGTTTAGGGTTTAGGGGGGTTTAGGGGTTTAGGGGTTTAGGGTTTAGGATTTAGGGTTTAGGGTTTAGGGTTTAGGGGGGTTTAGGGGTTTAGGGTTTAGGGGTTTAGGGGTTTAGGGTATAGGGTTTAGGGTATATGGTTTAAGGTTTAGGGTTTGCGGGTTTAGGGTTTCGGGTTGAAGGTGAGGGTTTGCAGAGACTCCTATAGTGCAGTAGGGTTTGGGGTTAGGGGCTCAGGGTTTTGGGTTTAAGGTTCAGGGTTCAGGATTACATACTCTAGGAGGTGTCCGCTGGCCTTTCTTATTTCTGTTGTTTTGTTCAGGTTGGGGTTCAGAGTTACGAGTTAAGAGGTTGTCGAAGTTCGGGTGGATTGTGGTGTGTATGGGCATATGCAAGGTTACAAGAATTACTAGCATGCCCAGTAGTACCCTGATTCCTTTCTTGTAGTCCGAGGTTCCTTATAAAGTTACCCAACACCAAAAAGAGAGGCCTTTTTATTCTTAGGTTACTGGGTATCCTAGATTATACAGATTGTATATATGGTCTTGAACCCTAGACCCGAAACCCCTGAAGCATCACTAGGGTCTCCCTAAGTACCCCAACTGTACGGTCCTTTAGCCCCTTATAAAGAATCCAGAGACTCCAATACCCCTTAATTTGACACGCTGCGCGTCGTCCGCCTCGGCCCGGCTGTACGCGCATGCGGCTGGGGTTAGGGTGTAGGGTTAGGAATTCAGGTTTGAAACTCGCTTGGTACTGCAGCCTTACAGGCGAGCCCCGATTTTTCAGGCTGGGGTTAGGGTGTAGGGTTAGGAATTCAGGTTTGAAACTCGCTTGGTACTGCAGCCTTAAAGGCGAGCCCCAACACATAAAGATGCTACATTGCAGTCCCGTGTCGTCGAAGAGGGGGGGGCAGGGGAGGGGAAGCGGGGAAAATTGGGTGGGACTGCCCACAGAAGCCAAAATCCGTTGGAGGGGGCGAGAATTCACCGCCGTACCTTGGAGCTCAGTGACACTTTTCCATTTTTAAGGGGGGGGGGGGGCAGTGGCCCCGATTTTTGGTGTGGGGTCACTGGGGAGGGGATTAAGAGGTGGGGAATAGAGGGAATCCGAATAGGAACCTCTGACCGCTTCGGCCCGGGCCGAGGCGAATTAAGGAATATACCTTAAATCATATTAGGGATCCTAGTATCATTCAGGGCATATTCCTCAATAAAGGGATATCGGAGTCTCTGGGAAACTCCTCTTCTGGCGCATTCCCAAAACCCGTGCCGGAACTAGGTCGTTCTATCAGGGGAGGGTTTGGCAATCGGAGGAAGCGATCATGCATACGTGTATATGGTGTATGTGTGTATCTGTGTAGCTGTTAAAAGTATGTGTGTACCAGTGTATGTGTGTATTTGTGTATATGTGTTTATCTGCATATTTGTTTATGTTTATGTGTGTATATGTGTATCTGTGTATATGTTTATATGTGTATATGTTTATGTCTAAGTATATGTATACGTATCCTAATTCTGCAACCTTAACTTGAGGGTTTTTTGCACAGAGAGTGTATGTACGTATGGGCATCTGTAGAACCCTTATGAACCCCTCCAAAACCTGTGTCAAAGCCCTTTGCCCTAAATCCCAAACTCTAAACCCTACAGTAAACCCTAAACCTTACACCCCTAAACCCTAAACCCCTAAACCCTAAACCCCTAAACCCCTAAACCCCTAAACCCTCTCTCTCAAATGGGTATTTAAACCCTGACACATTTTTTCGGCAAATCGGACCGTTGTTGCACCATTTTTCTGCAAATCGGACCGTTGTTGCACCATTTTTCGGCAAATCGGACCGTTGTTGCACCATTGTTCGGCAAATCGGACCGTTGTTGCACGATTTTTCGGCAAAGGGGACCGTTGTTGCACCATTTTTCGGCAAAGGGGACCGTTGTTGCACCATTTTTCGGCAAAGGGGACCGTTGTTGCACCATTTTTTCGGCAAAGGGGACCGTTGTTGCACCATTTTTCGGCAAAGGGGACCGTTGTTGAGGCATTTGTCGGCAAAGGGGACCGTTGTTGCACCATTTTTCGGCAAAGGGGACCGTTGTTGCACCAACTTTCGGCAAAGGGGACCGTTGCGGCAAAGGGGACCGTTGTTGCACTTTTTTTTGGCAAAGGGGACCGTTGTTGCACCATTTTTCGGCAAGGGGTACTGTTGTTGCACCATTTTTCGGCAAAGGGGACCGTTGTTGCACAATTTTTCGGCAAAGGGGACCGTTGTTGCACCATTTTTCGGCAAAGGGGACCGTTGTTGAGGATTTTTTCGGCAAAGGGGACCGTTGTTGCACCATTTTTCGGCACAGGGGACCGTTGTTGCACCATTTTTCGGCAAAGGGGACCGTTGTTGAGGCATTTTTCGGCAAAGGGGACCGTTGTTGCACTTTTTTTTCGGCAAAGGGGACCGTTGTTGCACTTTTTTTTCGGCAAAGGGGACTGTTGTTGCACTTTTTTTCGGCAAAGGGGACCGTTGTTGCACTATTTTTCGGCAAAGGGTACCGTTGTTGCACCATTTTTCGGCAAAGGGGACCGTTGTTGAGGCATTTTTCTGCAAAGGGGACCGTTGTTGAGGCATTTTTCGGCAAAGGGGACCGTTGTTGAGGCATTTTTCGGCAAAGGGGACCGTTGTTGAGGCATTTTTCGGCAAAGGGGACCGTTGTTGAGGCATTTTTCGGCAAAGGGGACCGTTGTTGAGGCATTTTTCGGCAAAGGGGACCGTTGTTGAGACATTTTTCGGCAAAGGGGACCGTTGTTGCACCATTTCGGCAAAGGGACCGTTGTTGCACTTGTTTTTCGGCAAAGGGGACCGTTGTTGCACTTTTTTTTCGGCAAAGGGGACCGTTGTTGCACCATTTTTCGGCAAAGGGTACCGTTGTTGCACCATTTTTCGGCAAAGGGGACCGTTGTTGAGGCATTTTTCGGCAAAGGGCACCGTTGTTGAGGCATTTTTCGGCAAAGGGGACCGTTGTTGAGGCATTTTACTTCTAAAATCAGCGCCTAGGTTCTAGGCTTTAAGGTTTAGGGCCGAGGGTTTGGGCTTCGAGGTTAAGGCCTAGAGTTGGGTGTTGAACTGAGCTGAGGGTAATGATAAATGTTTTTAAACTTTCTAACTCTTATGTTTTGGGATTCTTTGGGTGGGTTGGTATTCTTCCATGTTCTTAATAGCGAACTTGACTAGATACTGCTCGACCAGAGCTGCTGAACCCTAAACCCCTAAACCCTAAACCCTAAACCCCTAAACCCCTAAACTCTAAACCCCTAAATCCTAAACCCCTAAATCCTAAACCCTAAGCCCAACATTTTAAACCCTCAACCCCAAGAGTTCTGCACTGTAGAAGGCCTGCATAATTACTCAAGGTTCCTTCCTATGGTTAATCATTAAATCTATAATATACCACAAAACCCTACCCTTGTTAAGCACCCTACTCGTATTATTGCGACCTGCATACCAAATACTAGGAATCCCGTTGAAATTATTTCAGAGCCCTCTATCGTGGACGTTCACATCATAATTTGACTCTTAGCCAGGTGGCGCCTGAGAAGCAGCGCGGCAAACATCTCTGATCTCAAGCGCTACAAAGCTGCCCCTGATAACAAGCCCCCTATAGTACCCTCATAGACTCATCGACTCCTTGAAGCAACCTTTTACTTACCGTTGGTTAGTAGGGAATGAGGAAGGGGGTACAATTATAACTACTACTACTGCCATTCTTTTATTCCCTACTAACCAACGGTAAGTTTAAAACCAACCTGCACCCTACATTGCTGTAGCTGCAGCATAGGTTCGAAGAGGGTTCAAAATTTGGCTTTGCAAGGTTGAAGGGTTCAGGGATCTTTCCAAATCCTAAGCCCTCAACCGGAAGCCCTCTGCCTTCAGCTCGAGATCCTTAACCCTACAGCCTACTTGGAGGATCTTGGGACTTAGTAGGTCTGTTGTAAGTACCTTTATTGGGGTTATAAGTAGTTATGAGCTATCAGGGTGGTTACCCTATTTTAAACTCCAGCTAAGTCCCATGAGCCCTTAAGTACGGCAGTGAGCTCCGATCCCAAAGGGCCCCTATACTTGGAGGGTCGGGGGACTTAGTAACTGGTTATTTTAGGGACTTATAAGTACCATAACCCCAATTAGGGCCCCTTTCAGGGTACTTATAAGTCTACTTACTACCTGCTTACTAAGTCCCCCGACCCTCCAAGTATGGGTGGGTGTCAAATTAAAGTCCCGTTTTGGGTACCCTAAATATTAGGTGCCGCATTATAGTAGGGACCCAATAAGGGACCCTAGTTTTGATAACCACCCGTACAAAGTCAATAGTATCCCTGAAAGATCCCTTTAAGGAACCCTTTAACGGAACCCCTATTCTAATTATATGAAGACCCCTACACTGCGGCGGTAAGCTCCGATTCCAAAGGCTGCTTCTGGGGTTTTGCGTTCTGCCAGACTGTTTCAGATGCTTTTCTGCATCTCCAGAGACTCCAATACCCCTTAATTTAGGAATGTTCCTTAAATCATATGAAGGATCCTACTAAAATTTTAGGGTATGTTCCTTAATTTCGTTATAGAACCTTTCTAGATCCCGTTGAGGAGCCCTTATAGATCCCTTTAAGGGGCCCTTACAAATCCCTTTAAGGAACCCTTTTAGGGACCCTGTATCTCCTCGGGCACCTCTCCGCCACCCGGGGCAGGGGCCTCATCAAAGCGCCTGTACCGTAAACGCTACTTAAACCCTTTAGGGTTTGGGACCCCCGAATTATGGAGGCCTCCATTCAAAACTCTAAGCCCTAAAGATCCCTGAATAGATCCCTGAAAGGAGCCCTTAAGGATCCCCTTTAAAAGGTAGTATAGGTAATTAATACCCAGACCCCCGGGAGGATCCACAAAGTAGATCCATTAATGGGGGTTCCTGTAAAGTACCCTTAGTAGTATAGGGTCCCAAATTAGGGGTCTACTTTCTAGATCCTTTCGGGGGTCTGGGTTAATAATCAACGTGGCAACCATACACACAATTACTTATCATCCCAAGTAAGGAAAGGTAGTTCTCACTGTACTGATTAAGTCCCGTGAACCTCCAAGTAAACCCTTAATACTGGTTCTGGGAGGTTTTCAGGGTGTGGGGTTCGGAGTTCGTGGCTCTTACGGTTTTTAGGTTTCTTAAGCCCTTGTAGTACCGCCTGTGTAGTTACCGGAAGGTTTCAACGGGTGCGATGCATTCTCCATGTCGGTTTGTTCTAGGGTTCGATGAGGGCCTGCGGATGCCTTTGGTCAAAGGGTAGAAGGAGGGACCCTTGATGGGGACCCCTAGGTATAGAACCTTAATATAGCGGCGATTATATACACATTATATAGCCCATTATAGGGTAGGGGTCCCCATTAAGGGTCCCTCCTCTTCCCCTTTGATGTGGGGTGTTAAGCAAGGCTCATGCCGGTGCAGTGAGCTTCAGAGTTTAGAGCTTTCGGGTTTTGGGTTCCAGGTTGAGGGATCTAGGATTTAATTTTTTAGGGTTCAGGCTTCTGGTCTGCTAGCCTTAGAAAGGCCGCTAGATCACTTTCACACGCCGAAAACCAAGATCCGGGCCCTATTGTAGGACCCTATAGTACCCTCAACAGTACCCCAAATTACCCTATAGCAGCCCTTGAAGGGAACCCCATTTTACAGTTAGATCTCGACATGTCGACAAAGACCTTTGGCGCGGTGCGATCGGATGATGAGTGCCCACGGGGGGGTTAGGGGTTCCCAGAGAACCCAAGACCCCTCAATTAAGGAGTATACCTTAACATATAAGGGGCTTCTTAATATATCTTAAGCTATATTCCTGAATTAAGGGATTCGGATATTGGGTTCTCTGGGTTTAGGGTTTAGGGGGGTTTGGGGCATCCCGGCATTACTGGCTATTCGTCATAGTGCTGCTCATGTGAGTGTAAATGTTGGTGGTGTTCTTCTTCCAGCTGCTCTAGCTGTTGTTGCGCTGGCCCTTGTTGCTGTTGCTTCTTCTCCTGGTTCTTGCCGTCGTTGTGGATGTCGTTGTAAACCCTAAACCCTAAGCCTAAACCCTTGTGGTTGTAACCATGTGCTGCAAGCAGCGTGGATACGAAGTTCCCAGTCCACAGCACCTGTCATCCAGCAACTGATTGCATATCTTGGGTATTTGGCAGATTTGTTAATTAAGGAATATACTTTAGATCATATTATGGATCCTACTATAACTGAAGCTATATGGGCCTTTCCGAAAGTTGGCAAACCCTAAACCCTGAACCCTCTAAGCCCTAAATACAGTTTTGAGGCATGTGGTTGGACATGGCAAGAGCCGGTCGCAGGTTCAAGATCAAACGAAGTACATGGGTTGGAAGCAAACCCTTGAAACCCTGACTCCCGGAGCCTTGAATTTCATACTGAAGATTCAAAGCCATACTGGACCTAAAGCTTATGGACATTTGTAGGAATGCCTGTATAAACCCCTGAAGGAAGCCCAGTAAGGAATCCTGCCAGGCACCCGTTGAGCCCTTGAGCCCTCGTGTTCTCCCCAGATTTTTGGGAGGATCTAGAAAGTAGATCCCCAAATTTGGGGCCTTATACTGCCAAGGGTAGGTTATAGGAACCCCCATTACGGGATCTACTTTGTGGATGCTCCCAACATTTTGGGAATGAGTCACCTATACTACCTTTTAAAGGGGATCCTTAAGGGCTCCTTTAAGGGATCTATAACCAGAGATCCTAGCCATTAAGGGATCTACTTTTTGGATCCTCCCGGGGGTCTGGGACTTAGGACTTACTATAGAGGCCTTAATAATTATCTATAGGGCTCCTTTAAAAAAGGGTTCCTTTTGAAGGGGTCTATAAGGATTACTATAAGGGTCTGGGTTCTCGTCGAAGACAGATGCCATGGAGACGCCTCCCTTCGCAGTGCCAGGTCTTAACCACTTTGTTTCCAGCGCCTGGGCTGAGGAGTTAGGGTTAAGGGGTTTAGGGGTTTAGGGGTTTAGGGGTTTAGGGGTTTAGGGGTTTAGGGTTTAGGGGTTTAGGGGTTTAGGGTTTAGGGGTTTAGGGTTTAGGGGTTTAGGGGTTTAGGGTTTAGGGGTTAGGGGTTTAGGGGGGTTTAGGGGTTTAGGATTTAGGGGTTAGGGGTTTAGGGGGGTTTAGGGGTTTAGGATTTAGGGTTTAGGGTTTAGGGGGGTTTAGGGGTTTAGGGGTTTAGGGGTTTAGGGGTTTAGGGGTTTAGGGGTTTTGGGTTTTGGGTGGTTTAGGGGGGTTAAGGGGTTTAGGGGTTTAGGGGTTTAGGGTTTAGGTTTAGGGGTTTAGGGGTTTAGGGGTTTAGGGGTTTAGGGTTTTGGGTTTTGGGTTTTGGGTGGTTTAGGGGTTTAGGGTTTAGGATTTAGGGTTTAGGGCTTACCAGTAGTAGCAATAGGCCCTGAACCAAGGAAAGCCTACACCTTAAATCTGACGATCAGGGTTGTATAAGATTTTGAAGAGGTTCTATCAGGAGGTGTAGAAGCGTGCCCAGTGTTCCCAAAGCCTCCAAAGCCCTCGCAGTACGAAATTCTACCCCAACTACATATATAACTTGCGGTATATTCCCTAACAATCTTTTGGGGGTACCATACTTGGAGGTTCATGGGACTTAGTAACTACAATTATAAGTACCTTATTTCGGGTTATATCTAGTCATAAGTCATAAGTATAGTTACCTTAATTGTAACCGTAGTTACTAAGTCCCATGAACCTCTAAGTAAGTCCCTATATAATCCCAATATACTCCCAAAGGTTAACTTTAAGTTTCCTTAGGATACTGGAGAAGTAGGCCTCAATCAATACAGTTTGGACACTCCTTGTCTAGAGGTGTTTTTTCCGGGTTGCTGAGGAAACCTTAAATTCTGAACGGCTTATTTGGATCTGGAAAGACTCCGTATGGAGTTGTTGTGAATACCTTGGGGGCCGAAACCCTACCGGTAACTAAGGGCCCACTATCAGAATTTTATTACATTCTGCGCCGAAACTCTTTTGTCGCTATTTAAGGTCCCTACACTTAAAGGGTCGTGGAACCTTTCAACTCTAAGGACTTATCAACACGGTTACAAGTAAGGCAACTGAACCTGCAATTGTTTCTAGCTAGCCCAACGAAGGTGCGTAAAAGCTTGCTTACGGTGGATGATATGAATCCTGCATGACCTTAAGGACCCTAAACTATGGGAACTATGCTACAATCCTTATCATGGGTCATGCAGGATTTATATCATCAACCGTTACTAAGTCGCATGATCCTCCGGGCAATAGGAGAAGCCAGGAAGAGACTGGAGGTAGAACTTTGTCAGAAGGGTCTTTTCGGATTCATACTTGGCTTTAGGGTTGATCGTTGTTGGGTTGCTTTGGGGTTTAGGGTTTCTGGGGCTTAGTGTTAAGAGTTTTCCTGCGATTGGGTTGGAGGTTTTGTGGTTGGAGCCATTGCCCTAAACCCTAAACCCTAAAACCAGGTGACAAGGGGCCTTTGAGGCCAAAGCACCGACCCACCACTCGATCTAGAATTGCATCACATCCTGAGCCAGTAATGCCCCACCAACAACTCCGCATAAGGCATCATGCCTCAAGCCTTTAAAGGGTTTAGGGTTTAGGGTTAAGAACATGAAGATTTGACTTCAGAATAGACTAAAGCTTCTCAAGACTCGCTTGCTGTAAGTTCCCTGTAACTCCTACATGTCCTACACCGGCAAGCCCAACGTAAATCTCTGAATCCAGGTCTAGTAACACCATTTGAGGAACATGCCATAGTTGTGGAAGGCTTACCATTAGGCTTGAATGTTTGTTCACCTCTTCCATCGGAATAATTGGTGATACTGCCATAGCCCTAGCAGAAGTCTAATATACCTCCAACCTCTATTCCAAACATTGACGCCCCTACACTAAACGCATGCCGCTGGAGGCAAAGTGGACTTCTTCGTGGGTGTGTTACTCGCCTAGGACGTGTTCTGGGCAACACATCATCGGTGGAGTGTTTCCTTTGTCATAGTTGGGTAACATTTTACATTTTTACGGGTACTTAAACCCAATAAGGAATAAAAGTTTAAATTTTTAATCCTATCCCAACCATGAACTAGTTTCGGGTTACTCGACTCTGCCACCCTGCCCTAAGCCTTGTACCCCAATTTCCAGTCCCTGTGGGGACCCGAAACCCTAAGCCCCAAACCCTAAGTCCTAAACCCTACGCCCGCACAAGGCGTCCTAGGGTCTTCGTTTGCATTTTAAGGATGTGTAGCGGTTCAATCTAAGCCTGGGTTCATGGAGTTGTTCAACGGGGTTGGCAGAGCTGTTATAAGATGATTCAGCTTTAAATGGGAGTTTCCGAAAATAGGGGACCCTACTATAGTATCCGAAATAGTAGGATTCTTAGTACAGGGACCCCAGAATAAGGTACCCCCACATTAGTTAAGTTAGACCCTACACCCTCAATCCTAAACCCTCAGAGTTCCAGTTTAAAGCCCCTAAACCCCAAAGCCCAAACCCTAAAGGACCTTGGAATCCGTAGGAAGGGCTACTATAATTATAATGCGGAACCCCCAAAATAGTACAGGTAATTATTTAGGCCCCTATATTATCTGCGAGCTTCATGGTCAGTTCGTTTGGTTCTGCTAAAATTGTTCCAACCCGCTTAGTGCTCCTGTAGGGCTTGGGGTTTTAGGTCCTTCTGAGCCTTAAACCCTGAACCTTATTGCCCTGAATCCCCTAGACCTGAATCCCTAGACCCCCATAATACCTTTTAACGCACGGGAAATCTACACCAAACATGTTGTCCTGGCTAAGGAGAACAAATCTTTCGATTTCCGAGGTTATTTAGCTTTCGACAGGGTGGCAGCAGCAAAGGCCAAAATCAGAGGGTAGGGCAAGCCAAGCCAATAAGGGAATGACAGTTCCGCCTGGGATGTTTGGTGATGATTTTGCATACCTGTCCTCCGTCGAGAAAGATGTGGCCGAAATTCGGTCTTGATTGTCCATATTATTCTGGGGGTCCCGTATCATAATTATAGCATAGTGGGGCCCCAAAACCCTATCCTAATTATTAAGGCTCGTACACCAGATCTTGATAATAGCCCTTATTACAGCGCCCTTATGGACCCTCTTAGAAGGAGCCCTTGAAAAGGATCCCGTTCTAACATTAAGGCCCCTATATTACCCTAAGAGTCCATGTACCCAAATAATATGTACTTTGGCCTTAGAGTAGTCCCTATATAGATCCTTTGATATTTTTTTCGTAGGAGTGTGCTCTGTAATGTCCTGTATTTATATTCAATAGCAAACTTGTGTTCACTCCAAAAGGAATCACTGTTTCAAATTGCACGACCTCTGTATTATCTACCACCTGTCATACTGAGATCCAGAACGACTGGTACCTGTCACATGCAATTGCCGCCTATTGGATTTGGATTTATCTTAGACCGACACATCAAAAGTTTGTTTCTCACACATGATGTTCCACACTCTGTACATATATACATACAATGCATATATACATATATACACATATACATATGCACATGTACACATATATTCATACAGACATATGTACATATGGAAACATATATACATATATTTATATATGCGCACACAAAATACTAAATATAGAACAAATATATTCATATATACATGCATGTCCACACCTGGCAGTCATGAACCTCAAGTCGTAAACCTTGCATCCCTGACTTGTGAACTACTGGGCTTCTTCGGTGTGCCGCCAATGCCATGGCCGATCCGTCCGAAGGCACATTGAAGAGGGGCATCTCGCAGCCATCAGTGGCTGGTCCGGACAAGGCCCGGCGCACTGTGACTGGGTTTGGAGTACCATACTTCAATCCTGTTTTGGGGACCGGTTACTTCAAGGGAACCACTGTGAACTAAAATTCTATTCTCTTTTCTCCCTGGCTACTGCAAAGCCCAGGTGAGCGTTCACTGCCTGGCAGGCTCCAGCTTTGAGCTGGAGGTCGACTCTGCTGAAACGGGGTGGGAAGTAACGGAACGCATCGCAGCCAGAGTTGGCCACCCGGCAGGTGTACTTGTGCTGACATCGGGTGGTCGTGTCATCGATCAGCGCCAGCTGCTGCTGCATCAAGTCCAGCACGACGAGATCTGCTACGTGGTGCGGAAGCTTGGCGCGGGTCGTGTCGCGATGCTGTGGGAGCGCCTACTCGAACAGAAGACTCTGTCAGATGTAGCTGACCTTAACGAAACGATGTCACTCACGTGGTATTCCAACCAAGACCTCAACCAGGGCACCCAACTACCCAGCAGCCTGCAGAGTTTGACTTTTGGAGACGAGTTCAACCACAACCTCAAGGACATCCAACTACCCAGCAGCCTGCAGAGTCTGACTTTTGGTCAACGTTTCAACCAGAGCCTTGAGGGCATCCAACTACCCAGCAGCCTGCAGAGTCTGACTTTTGGATATGCGTTCAACCAGAGCCTGCAAGGCATCCAACTACCCAGCAGCTTGCAGAGTTTGACTTTTGGATATGTCTTCAACAAGAGCCTGCAGGGCATCCAACTACCCAGCAGCCTGCAGAGTCTGACTTTTGGTCAACGTTTCAATCAGCGCCTGGAGGGCATCCAACTACCCAGCAGCCTGCAGAGTTTGGCTTTTGGAAAGCAGTTCAACCAGAGCCTGGAGGACATCCAACTACCCAGCAGCCTGCAGAGTTTGACGTTTGGTGTTTATTTCGACCAGAGCCTGGAGGACATCCAACTACCCAGCAGCCTGCAGAGTTTGACTTTTGGATATATGTTCAACCAGAGCCTTGAGGGCATCCAACTACCCAGCAGCCTGCAGAGTCTGACTTTTGGATATGCGTTCAACCAGAGCCTGCAAGGCATCCAACTACCCAGCAGCCTGCAGAGTTTGACGTTTGGTGTTTATTTCGACCAGAGCCTGCAGGGCATCCAACTACCCAGCAGCCTGCAGAGTTTGACTCTTGGTCAACGTTTCAACCAGAGCCTGGAGGGCATCCAACTACCCAGCAGCCTGCAGAGTTTGACGTTTGGTGCTTGTTTCGACAAGAGCCTGCCGGGCGTGGAGGGCATCGAACAACACTGCAGCCTGCGGAAATTGAATTTTGGAGATGAGTTCAACCAGAGCCTGGAAGGCATCCAACTACCCAGCAGCCTGCAGAGTCTGACTTTTGGTCAACGTTTCAATCAGCGCCTGGAGGGCATCCAACTACCCAGCAGCCTGCAGAGTTTGACTTTTGGTCAAAGTTTCAACCAGAGACTGCAGGGCATCCAACTACCCGGCAGCCTGCAGAGTTTGGCTTTTGGAAAGCAGTTCAACCAGAGCCTGGAGGACATCCAACTACCCAGCAGCCTGCAGAGTTTGCCGTTTGGTGTTTATTTCGACCAGAGCCTGGAGGGCGTCCAACTACCCAGCAGCCTGCAGAGTTTGACTTTTGGTCATTTTTGCAACCAGAGTCTGGAGGGCATCCAACTACCCAGCAGCCTGCAGAGTTTGACTTTTGGATATGTCTTCAACAAGAGCCTGCAGGGCATCCAACTACCCAGCAGTCTGCAGAGTTTGACTCTTGGTCATCGTTTTAACCAGAGCCTGGAGGGCATCCAACTACCCAGCAGCCTGCAGAGTTTGACTTTTGGATATGAGTTCAACAAGAGCCTTGAGGGCATCCAACTACCCGGCAACCTGCAGAGTTTGACTTTTGGTCATGAGTTCAACCAGAGCCTGCAGGGCATCCAACTACCCCGCAGCCTGCAGAGTTTGACTTTTGGTCAAAGTTTCAACCAGAGTCTGGAGGGCATCCAACTACCTGACAGCCTGCAGAGTTTGACTTTTGGATATGAGTTCAACCAGAGCCTAGAGGGCATCCAACTACCCAGTCTGGAGGGCGTCCAATTACCCAACAGTCTGCGAAGCTTCACCTCAAAGCATTTTCGTGTAGCCACGCGGTGAGCAGTGATGTGCTGGTGCGGCGTCCTTTGCAAGGGCAGCTGTTATGATGTTTGCTACGCGCCTACAAGTTGATTTGGGCACCCGCCTCTTTTCATTAATGGTGCATGCAGAGTATGTAACCTGTAGCAATTTCGGGGTACTATGACCCCTGTATAAGCCCAAGGTTCTCCTTTCGTTCCCCAGGCTATCGGACGAGTAGATTATGGCGCATGCTTCCATGAAGCGAGGTCTGGACCCGCTCAGCAGAGAAAGGACTACTGGAGCTTAAAGAAGCCTTACATCCTAGGCGCTGAATCTGAAAGCCCAAACTCTTAGCCTTCTGAATCCCAGCCACGCCCTGAATCCTTAGCCCCTAAACTTAACAACTGATTAGTCCCAATCCCTAAACTTTCGGCCTGAATCCCTTAATATATATATATATATATACACGTCAACCCTGCCCTCAATCTTAGAGCTCTAGAAACATCCATAAAGACCCCTACACAGCCTAACGGAACCCCAAACCCGAATCTTGAAACCCTAAACCGTAAAACGCTGTAAGCCCTGAAACCCCGAAGCCCAAATGGGTGGTTGTCAAAGTTAGGGTCCCTTTTTGGGTCCCTATTATAATACGGCACCTAATATTAAGGGTACCCCAAAAAGGGACCCTAATTTTGACAACTACCCAAATTCAAAACCCTAAGCACCAAGGGCAGGCAGACAGGGGGCCCGCAACAAAAAAGACAACAAATAGACAACCGAGCCCTTCGCAGCCTTGAATTGTAGTGGCCTTTGTAGAGCCCTTGACACCTTGACAGTTCGTAAACTTTATGGAACCCCATTATAGCTACCCCCTAAACTAGGACCAAGAGAAGGCCCTTATTCCCTTTTTAAGGGTTCAGGTTCCCTTATAAGCACCTTTAAACCAAAAAGGGCACCCTTTTTATTCCTAGGTTACTCTTGGATCTAGTAAAGGAAACCTTCAAAGGACCTCGAACCTGCCTCCTTAAACCGTAAGATGAAACGCCAAACCCTACCCGTAGCCTTCAAAGACATACTAACCTTGTTAGGGTTCCTCATTAGGGTTTCTATGCATAGTTCCTCACAAAGGGTAGGTCTTCTCGGCTACAGATAAACCCCAAAACCCCAAATTCCGAGACCCCTAAACCTTAAACCCTAAACTTAAACCCCCAAACCTTAAACCCTAAAGCCACCCAAGGCTCCTCGGCGTGTCTTTGGCGCTGCTCCTGCGCCGGCCGGCAGGGGTTAGAAAGAAGGAAGTGAAGGGGGACGAGGACAGATAAGGGCTCCTTTAAGGGTTCCTTTAAGTATAGGGATCTTTCAGGGTTTAGGGTTGCGGGCTGTAAGGGTGGTTGTCAAAATTGTGGTCCTAAATGATAGGTGCCGTGCTATATTAGGGACCCACAAAAGGACCCTAACTTTGACAACTACCCTACTACCCATAAGGGAGAATCCCTTTAAGGGAGTCTTCAAGGGCTCCTTCAAGGCGCCTTTGAAGGGTCCGTCAAAAGGTCCTTTAAAGGATCTTTCAGGGGGATGCTTTAGGGGCTCCTTTAGAGGACTCCTCTATTTGGTAGGGTTTAGGGTTTAGGGTTTAGGGTTTAGGGTTTAGGGTTTAGGGTTTGGGGCTTCTATAAGGCTCTAATGAGGGTTAATAGAGGTCCGATGACCGATAAGGGCTATTATGACCCTATAAAGGGCCCTTTTCAGGGCTCCTGTCAGGGTTTATCCTCCGAGTATCATGTGGAGTTTAGGGTGGATTTCCCGCAAGTGTTCACCAGGCAGCACAGGGGGTTTAATGATTAGAATAGTGGGTGGGGGCAGATAAAGCCTATCTATAGAGCGACCTTAAGCAGACATTCGTACGGATGGTTCACACCTCTACACTCGAGTTCAGTGATTCAGGAGTCAGGGTATGGGAGTTTTTGGAGTTTCTGGGAAGGGGTTTGGGTTTCCGGTTGGGTGGGTCTTTTCGGCTGCACGTAAGCCCTAACCCTAAACCCTATTCCTTAAACCTTAAACCCCAAACCCCAAACCCTAAACCCTTAACCCTACACCCTAAACCCTAAAGCCTGAACCCTAAACCCTACACCCTAAACCCTAAACCCTACACCCCACACCCTAAACCCTAAACCCTAAACCCTACACCCCACACCCTAAACCCTACACCCTAAACCCTGGACCCTAAACCCTGGACCCTAAACCCTACATCCTAAACCCTAAACCCTAAAACCTAACCCCCAAACCATAAACCCCTAAATCCTAAACACCGTTTGGGCTTAGAGACTTCGACGAGTGCTGGAGGACGGCAAAGCGAGCTCTCCGATCTCTACGGCGGGACCCGCCTCTTAGCTGAGCATCCAAGGGTTAAAGGAGGGACCCTTAAAAGGATCTATAGGGATTCTATAAGGGTATAGGGTTTAGGGTTTAGGGGTTTGGGGGTTTAGGGGGTTTAGGGTAAAAGGAGGGACCCTTAATAGGGACCCCTAGGTATATACCCTTAATGTAGCTATTATATACCCATTATATAGCCCATCAAGGGTCCCTCCTTTTCCCCTGTGAGAGTAGGTAGCCTTTCTTGGGGGGTATAGGGGGGTTTAGGGGTTTAGGGTTTAGGGTTTAGGGGTTTAGGGGTTAGGGGTTTAGGGGTTTAGGGTTTAGGGGTTTAGGCTTTAGGGTATAATAGGAATCCTTTAAGGTATCTCGAGGGCTTGTCTAAGGGGCTGTTAGTAGTAAAATAGATAGCCTGGAACCTTTTGGCTTTTGGGGTTTAGGGCTTGTATAATCCTACCATAATTGGAAAAATACGTGAGCCCTTTTTCTGCGAGGGTACACAGCCCCGAAGGTCTACTGCTCCCTCTGCCAACATCTGCCACGGCCTCGGGGGCCCTAGGGAATGTTTTCAAGCTTTGTGATCTTCAGTTCAAAGATGAAGCACATGGATTATCGGACTTGCCCATATCGGGTTGTAAGACATCTGCACTGGAAGGGTTTGGGGCAGCTTATGGTAACTCCTCGGCATGCATGTCAACAAGGAGGTGGCCGCTCTTTCTGGTTCGCATGGCCTTTTTGCTTGGATTCTATCTCAGGTGTTTTTGCGGTTGGTACTAGATACGGGTCACGTTTTGTGTGAAAGCCTTAGTTGCACAAGGCTAGTCGTGAGAATTGAGAAAAGGGGTGTCCCTAAACCCTAAACCCTAAACGGTCAGAAGGTTACAAGAGCTGTTTGGCATGTCTGTGACCCTGCCCCAACCCCCATGGCCCAAGTCCCAAAGCCCAAAACGTTCTTGCTACAGATCCCTCATAGAGCACTGTTTGGGGACGGTGTAACTTATGGAACCCTGAAAAAACTTAAGCCCGAAACCCTGAAAACTAGACCCTAAACCCTGAACCGTTCACACCCCTCCAACAGAAATTCGGGAGAACCCATTTCCCGATACTGTAGCCGGTAGCCACAGCCCAGGGCAGCAAGTAACGGGTGGAGTTTCATAGGGTTTCAAGGCGGTCTCCAAGGATGTTGAATTTGTCACGGTTCCAGCAAGGTTTTCCAGGATATTTAGGGTCTTTGTTAAACATACGGTTTTATGTATGGGCTCTTAGGGTGGTACAGCACTTAGTTGGGTTATTATAAGGCTTGGCAGCGGTTGAGGAACCGTTAGCAAGCTTACTGTATCCCTTGCAGCCGTACCACAATTTACTCCTACACCTTATGCGAGTTATTGTGTCAGTGTTTCCATCCAATGCTTCACAAAGCTCCCTGAAGGCCTTTTAAGAAAAGGGGTTTGTTGAGTCAGGGGTTTACACTACCAACATTTTTCACGCACCTCTGAACAGCCGCCGGTTTTCAAGATGTGTCTTTGGTTTTAGGGTGTCCAATCGGAGTCTTCTTAATCCACGCATGCCGGATGTCGATTACGTTGGAAGTTGGCTTGCTCAGTGGCAAGACAGCTAAAGTGAAAGCAGGACTGGACGAAGTTGTGGCAACATTCACCGTTCGGGCGCAAGCTGCGCTGGGAGTCGGAAGAGGGCGGCTGGTGGACTCATCTGGAAGGGTTTTGAATGCAAATGCACTGATCCAGCACACCATGCCACAGAGTGACGAGTTGCTGACACTGCATGTGAACAGAGTCCAAGCATGCGCTGCTACAGTTTCTCTTGCTGCCATTCTTGGCGATGGATCTTGTGTGACATGGGGCGATGCTTACTATGGTGGCGACAGTGGCGGGGTGCAGGATCAGCTCAACAACGTGCAGCAGATCCAGGCCTCTGACGATGCCTTTGCTGCTATTCTCGGCGACGGATCGGTCGTGACCTGGGGGCGGGGCTACGAAGGAGACAGTAGTGCGGTGCAGGCTCAACTGAAGAATGTGCAGCAGATCCAAGCCTCTAAATGTGCCTTTGCTGCCATACTTGGCGACGGATCCGTGGTGACCTGGGGTGTGGCTGGGTATGGCGGTGACAGTACCACTGTCAAAGATCAGCTGAAGAATGTGCAGCAGATCCAGGCTACCGATCATGCTTTTGCCGCCATTCTTGGTGATGGATCCGTCGTGACCTGGGGCGAAGGTGGCGCTGGCGCTGACACTAGTGCCGTGAAGGATCAGTTGAAGACAGTGCAGCAAATCCAAGCGGCTTACGATGCCTTTGCTGCCATTCTTGGTGATGGATCTGTCGTGACTTGGGGTAGGGCTGGCAGCGGTGGCAACAGTAGAGCTGTGCAGGATCAGCTGAAGAATGTGGAGCAGATCCAAGCCTCTCGCTTCGCTTTTGCGGCCATTCTGGGTGACGGAGCTGTCGTGACCTGGGGTGATGCTTCCAGTGGTGGCAACAGCAGTGCTGTGAAGGATCAGCTGAAGAACGTGCAGCGGATCCAAGCCTCTGATCAAGCTTTTGCTGCCGTTCTAGCTGATGGCTCTGCTGTTACTTGGGGTTTTGATTGCAGTGGTGGGGACTGCAGTGCTGTGCAGGCTCAGCTGAGGAATGTGGAGCGGATACAGGCCAGCGACCGCGCTTTTGCTGCCATTCTTGGCGATGGATCTGTCGTGACCTGGGGCCACGCTGGCGCCGGCGGCGACAGCACTGCCGTTCAATATCAGCTGAAGAACGTGCAGCAGATCCAGGCCTCGAAATTCGCTTTTGCGGCCATTCTTGGCGATGGATCTGTCGTTACCTGGGGCAATGATCGCCACGGTGGTGACAGTGGTGCTGTGCAGGAACAGCTAAAGCATGTTGAGCAGATCCAAGCCTGCAGCAATCTGTTTGCCGCCATTCTTGACAACGGATCTGTCGTGAGCTGGGGTCGCGCAGAACATGGTCGAGAGCGCTGTTCCATGTCATTGCCTGCATTCGATCAAAAATTGCTTCCTTGCTTGGCCGGGCAGCAGTGTTGAATATCAGATTCGCAGTTTGTCCAGAGTTGAGGGTTGTGTGAACTTAAATACTCACATCCAAGTCTCTACGCCGTGGTACCGAACAAAACAGATGGAATACCGGGGCTTGAGACGTGAGTAATCTTACCATGGAAAAGCCACCAACAACCCTAGTCCCGAGACCTTCGAAAATCTTTAAATTGAGGAATGAATATACATCCTTACTATGATTTAAAGTGTATTCCTTAAATGAGGCGTTTTGTAGGCTCTGGGTCGAATAATTCAGGCCGCTGTCTTATATCTGAACGACACTTGCGCCTGAGTCAGAATGTGAAAACAGCACTGATCCTGAACCCTTTGTTTGGTCACTCTATGGGTGGCTGTCAAAATTGGGGTCCCTTTGTGGGTCCTCAGTATAATACGGCACCTATTATTTAGGGTACCCAAAAAGGGATCCTAATTTTGACAACCACCCATATAAAAGCATTATAAAGCTGTCCCAAAACTTTCTCCTGAGTCTAAAAGGCCCCTGCCCCACATAGTAAACTCGTATAGTAGCCTTTTAAGAACCCTATAAGTAGTAACCCTTTAACAAAGAATCTTTTAAGTAGTAGCCTTTTAAAGCCTTTTAAAGAGCCCTTAATAAGTAGTAACCCTTTAACAAGGAGGCGTATTTATTTTGGTATTTTTGTTTTTTTTTTGCATTTTTTTTTTTTGGCTTGTGTGCGCGCTTGGCTTGGCTTCTCGGCTTCCCTGGCTTCTTGGCTTCTGGCTTCTTGGCGGGCCATGGTTTTTTTTTTTCCAAGGTGCGGCCAACCCTTGTTGGCGAGGTGCGGCCAAGGGTCCCTGGTGCATGCGGTCCCCTAGTCCTCTGGTCCTTGGTCTTGTGGTCCCCTGGTCCTCTGCTCGCGGTCCCCTAGTCCTCTGGTCCTTGGTCCTGTGGTCCCCTGGTCCTCTGGTCTGCTGGTCCTCTGGTCCCGTGGTCTCCTGGTTCCCTGGTGCATGCGGTCCCGTAGTCCTCTGCCACAACCACAACCACAACCACGGGATAGGGGTTAAAAACAAATCAAATAAGAATCAAAAACATAAAATAAGGATCAAACAGAAATTAAATAAGGATCAAAAAATAAACAGGTATCCACGAAAGGAGGGGGGGTAACGGAGGAAAGAAAGACAGAGAGAGAGAGAGAGATCAAAAAAGAAAGAAAGAAAGAAGGAAAGCAAGAGGGACAGAGAGAGAAAGAAAAAGAAAGAAAGAACGAAACAAAGAATGAGCGGAAGAAAGCAATAAGGCAAGAAGAAAGAAATACACAAAAATAGTTATAAGGAAAGAAAGAAATCAAAAATAAACAAATAGACAAATAAAGAAAGCTATAAGGAAAGACAAAAGAAAACACAAGGACAGGACGAAATAGAGTCAGAAACAAAGAAAAACAAACAATAAAGACATAACGAAATAACAAAAATGGAGAAAGAACGACGAAAGGACATAAATTAACTAAGATGTTGTTTTGTTCTATGTTATCTTCTGTTATATTGTATTGTCGTCTTTTGTTATGTTATTAGATGCTACATGAAGCAAGGTTCTGCTATATCAGATAATGTCACACTATTTTTGTGATGTCGAACCATCTTATGTCGTTCTTATGGTTTACTGTGCTATATTATGTTATAGAGTGTTAACGGAAGAAGAGACACGAACAAGCACGGAAGAACGAAAGACCCACCGCCGCGCTTTTCGAGCTGCGCAAGCTTGATTCAAAGAGTGTTTTCGAAACCCATCATGTGAGCGTTGTGTCTGCAAATGGGGGGGGGCTGCGCCCCCCCCCCAACCCCCCCGCTAACCAGAATCGCCAAATGAGGGAGTGTGTTTAAGATAGGTGATGAAGCGGAATACCAGCAAGAGCTACAACACGAAATCCGTCCTAAATGCGAAATTGTAACGAAAATTTGATTTTCCCGAGGAACAACCAAAGATAACGTATGTTTTCCTTCTGAAAACCTGAAGAAATGACACGAACGCCATAGGTAATAGACAAATGGTGTTTTTCCCAGGAAAAACCAAGGAAAACTTGGAAAATACAACGGAATCCGTGGGAAAATCATGTCTTCCCTGAGAAAAACCAAGCAAATCCTTAGGAAATGAAAGAGAATCCGTAGGAAAACAGTGTTCTCCCTTGGAAAAATTCAAGATTTGCTGTATCTGGAAAGAAAGAAAGGAAGACAGGACGAAAGAAAGAAAGGACGAGAACAAGAACGAAATAAATGAAAAAGAAAGAAAGCAAGAAAGAAAGGAAGGAAGGGAGTATGAAATGAATAAAGAAAGCACACCAGAAAGAAATAAAAGAAATGAACGAGCGAAAGAAAGAAATCAATCCAGAAAAAACAGGCAAAGTTGGAAAATACGAAAGAGAAAGAACATGAAAGAAACACAGAAACAAAGATACAAGCAATAGGATACTACATAGTCCAATCGAATATGCCATAATATCGTAATGGACC